GTTGTAAACAGTTGTAAATTTCGATTGAGGCAATCTTATCGATCGAAATTATTTATCGATTGATTTAATAGATATGGTGTTAGCCTATTGTTGTTGTTTGCTCGACATATCGATGGTATGGTATAATGTACTGTAACACAATCTTATTAGACATAATTTATTTTTGTAAAAAAATACAACCGACTTCAAACGCTCTAAAAATAATGAAATAATTTCAATAAAGTAAACTTTTGTATTAGGCAAGCTCACGTATTTTAAGTCGGTGCGGCTCTATGATGATTTTTGATACAAAATTGAAAGAGGGTGTCCATATTGCAGGTGACTATCTATAACTAAAGGTGTTAATCTGCATGTCTATTTCTTAGTTATGCGTTAAGTGTTATTTTATTACCGTAATCAGAGATCGGCATCATAGTGGTATTAACGAGTATCTTTAAAAAGATTATAACGCATTTAAATGTTTCTAACTTGGAAAAGAAACGTTTTAATACTAAACTAGCTTCTTTTCCCTATCATAATATCAAACTAAATTATTTTCCTGTTTATATAGAACATTTGTGTGTGTTATTTTCATAATGCATTTATTCTGAAGTAAACATAAAATACAAGAAAATATTTCCTTTAATATATAAACAAAACAGTTCAGTATGTTTTTTTTATATATTTATGTTATCCAGCTACAATTTATTGATTTTCAAAATCCACACACAACATTTAATTTCAATCATATTTGCAGTTTGAGCCGCGCCGACTTGAAATACGTGAGCTTGCCTAATACAAAAGTTTACTTTATTGAAATTATTTCATTATTTTTAGAGCGTTTGAAGTCGGTTGTATTTTTTTACAAAAATAAATTATTTCATGATTTTTAGTGACTGTATAATTTTATATATAATAATATATAAATAATACTTGAGGATTTTTGATAAGCAAAACTGTTTGAAACAATCAAAAGTTCCACAGAACAATCATTATTTTAAAACTGCTTGAGTCACCTGTTCAGGTTACATAATCAATGAGTATGAAAATAAACATCTTTATATATTCCTTAAGAAAGAAAGAGTTGTCCATTACATTAGGCCTAATGAAAAACTAATTGTCTTTTCTAGATACATTTAAATGTCAGACATAATCGTTTCCTGCAATCGGTGTACTTCTACATTATAAAAAGAAATACAGTAACGTCTCAAGCCTTTTGGAACAATATGAAAGTTATTCCTCAGCTACCAGCACTAAAAAATCTCTCAAAAGTGGAAAATTGGTCGTTAACACCATAGTACCTTTCCTATAGTACCTTTGGAAAATATTATATGAAAGATTGGTTCAGCTAAAAGTGGTGTAAGTCATGTAGGGGGTTTTGTTTGCTCAAGATATAGCCTAGTCGAAATTGCAAATCATCTTCCTCTAGGACTTTCCGAAGCAGGCATAATAGTATTGATATGTTATAGTAACTGGGTAGAGAATATTAATAAACATTCCACATCTGCAAATGAAATATGTATATGAAAGATTGGTTCAGCTAAAAGTGGTGCAAGCCATGTAGGTGGTTTTGTTTGATCAAGATATAATAGCCTAGTCGAAATTGCAAATCATCTTCCTCTAGGACTTTCCGAAGCAGGCATAATAGTATTGATATGATATAGTAATTAGGTAAAGAATATCAATAAACATTCCACATCTGCAAATGCATGTTTAGTAATTAAAATATTTAACACTTTTAAGACAATTGACGATTATGCACTGTCACACTTCTTAGGTCGTGTAAGGAATAATTGCATTTAATTTATATTTAGACCTGTTTTACGAATGCTTTGGTTTTCACAACACACCTTTATTTGTCAATTTCATACAGCTATTCACTGAAACATATATGTTTTTGTAAGTCAGAATATTCAATACTAAAAACAGAATTACTGTATACACAAATCAGGTCAAACGTTGAAATACATTTTTTATAGTAGCCAAAACAAAATGCATTTTTCTCAATGTAATTCATTTAGGCTCCATGGCAAGAAATAGTTTATTGATCAATATGAAGCAACTGTTTCATGAAGAATTGTCTGTAGCTTCATTTAAATGGTTTCAACTAACAGCTGTAGGAATGTTATTATTATTTATTGCCTTCTCTGCACAAATGTAAACAATCTGCACAAATGTAAACAAAATAAATGTTGAATATTTAAGGTTTTCAGAATTTTTCACCGAAACAAATATTATACTTAAACATAATATATAAGGTACCTAATAGAAACTCTCCTGGTTATTTTGGTGGTGGAACCACACTGATCGGTAAAAGAATCACAGAGAAATTGGTGAACATACATAGAAAAAAAAATCGCCACAAACAAATTGAGAACCTCCTCCTTTTGTTGGTAGTGGGGAAGTCGGTTAAAAATTATTGAATCACTTTTAATAAACAGCTGCTTATTTGCATTAGCAGAATTGAAAACAAGCTGGAAGTTGTATTGATAGGTTATCTTTACATCAAAATTATTTTGTTTTCAAGCTTTGTTTGTTAATTAATGATGCAATATGACGAAAAATTTAGTTCACCACATGGGCAAAAAATGCCTTTTTAACCCTCGCTCATTTTTAGACCTCGGTTTTGCCTCGATCGTAAAACTCAACCTTGCGTCTAAGAGTCACTTTAGCCCCTAGTGATGAAATATACTATTTATTTTGTCAGTGACTAAGATTTATGTCCAAACCATGAGATAAACATGTTGAATCATTCTCAATGAGCCTCCGGGCAAAGAGAGATACCACAGAAGAAAACAAAATGCAAGGAACACTGCATGCATGCACATCAATCTGAGGCGCGATCATTCCTACTTTTGGATCTGCTGGTAATTGGAAATACTGATACGTTTATATTGGATCTTCTGTCCCATCTAGTATCACAAGATCCAAAGGACGTCTCTTTCATAGATTTACTTCACAATGTAAAATTATATTTCTAGCAATGGCTATACTTTTGAATCTTTTGATCGTTTGGATCTTGTGCTCTACCTACTGGTCTGAATATAAACTTTGGATATTTTTAAATGTTTCTCCACTATTACATACCCTACTTAATAATCATGTGTTTTGAAATGTGTGTGTGTGTGTTATCTCTGTAAAAAATGTAACAAGAAAAAATATCCCATTTCTCAACACGTCAATATCTCGTATCAATACAAGAGTGCCGAAAAGACAATAGACAAAAGACAAAGCTTTATTTTCCATGAAAAGAAAAATTAGCATTTGAAATAAACAGTGACTTCAATCACTTCAATGTTATATTTGTTAACTGCAGGAAAATGAGGCATGATGCAGAATCAAGATATTTTTGTTTGGAAAAGAATAACAACTACAATATTTAAACACAGTTTAATTAAATTATACATTTTATTCCTAAATTATTAACAGTTTTTTCTATAACTAGTCAAAGGAACTACCGTCAACTGATCACATTACAGCCGATTCATTATGTAACTTGTTTTCAAAATTAACTATTACAAGTTACCAGATTACACTACTTAAACGTCCTCAGAAAAATGAACATAACTCATGAAAAACATAACTTACTTAACACAACAAAAGATAACAGTAACCTATCTATACTCTAGAATAAATTACAGATGGCAAAATACAAAATTTGTTGACATTGACCCCACCACAGAACAGCAAGCAAGATGTCAAGACTGTCATTACACCTGACTTCAGTATGAGCTACAACTGAGTCATCTTGCTTAACCTTCACACACATATCACATATCACATTTTTTTTACTTTATCACTTATATTATTTTACTTTCCGCTACATTGTACACATAAAACAGGTTTCAGCTACTTTATGAACATGTTTTACAAAATAGGGTCTATAACATTCGTACAAGATTATTTTATGCACACAACAAATTTAACTACCAAGGCACCCTTGAATACTTTTAGGCAGGATTACAAATTATAATATTGTAATTGTTGGAAACATAGAAGAACTGTAACTTTAAAATCTTGTGAGTCGGTATTTTGACCAATGATCCATATAGGTAGCCTACTAAGAAAATGTCTTTTTAAGTTTTCATTTCCAAAGGCATGAGCTCTATCAATATTTTTCACCTTACGTACTCATATTTCCAACACAAATGAATTGTGTTTTTTTTTCAAGACTAACTAATGTTTATTATTTAAATTAGGGTACATTCTTTTGATTACCAAAAACACCTTAGTGAAACATTGGATTTTGTAATGAAAAGTTTTGCCAACAGGCTTACCTTAATGACGAAAAAAGACAAAAGAACAGGTAACCCATACAATCTCCAGATTTACATCTTCTATCTTACTTGTTCCTTCTTGAGTAGAAGAGTCGGTAGAAAGAAAGACTAATAGGTACTCAAGAAGGGCCAACTAGCTCAGAAAATTCTACTAGTTACCTATTCAGTTTTTCCCATTTTCATCAGTAAGGTAAGCCTGCTGTTGTAACTATGCATTACAAAATCCTTAAATACCCAGGCCTAAAGTAATAAAAAAAAACACTCAAGTTATGTAAACAGTTTAGTTAGTATTGGGAAGAAGAAATGGAATGATTCTGCTACTTCTTTTGGAAGAAGGCCTTAGAGGGGGGGGGGGGGTTGTATGTCCATTTCTCTCTATTGTATTCCTAATTCAAAAGAGCTCTTTCCAATATATATACAGTATATATATATTAATATTTATATAATCTTATTGTGATGTACTGAAGTTTTAAGTTCTAACATATTCCCTACAATGAGTATTAACAAATGAAGGTCACCTTTGTGTTGATCGATCCAACTGATAAACTAAAATTTCATTAAGTTTATTTTATTCTGATGATCTAGAGGCCAATCCAAAGTAAAAAAACTAAAAATAGGAACTTTTCAAAGTATATTGGCCAACTCACTGAAGATATCTTTGCCTTGGAAGTTAGTGAGATTACAAACATTTCGAAGGAACTAAAATCTTCACTGGTAGGCTTACAAGTTACTAAACACCTCAGATCACAAGTAAGGACCCCAGCCGATGTACATTTGGCAGAGATTGTTGATGTCGGTTGCTTCTGCTATCAATATCCGGACCTGCCCTTCGGCAGACAGAGGGACCGAGTACGAACCGTTCTTGGTTTTGACAATCCCTTGTAATCGCATCTCGATGTTTTGTATGTCATCCATAGCCTGAAACCATACAAAAATCGGGATAAGAATATGTACCGGGTTCATAGTCTTTTACTGACACAATTTTACATCTGACTGTGTACACGTGTACCAATACAAAATTTAACCAGATAAAATAGCTGTTCACTGCAACAACAAACAAGTAAAAAAGGAAATTAACTATCTTTAGGCACCTTTTCATTGGTCATCTCTGCATTCTCATCTCGCGTGTTCTTGTTGATGTTCCACGAGACCAGCGGGTCATAGCAGAACGGCCGCACCACTGACATCAGCTGGTCCATGTGTTGTCTCATCACTCGAGTTGTGATCTCACACGAGTGACGGAAAATCCCCTCCACTCCCGTGGGACCCATCGCGTGCACCAAGTTGTGAGTCAGACGGAATGGAACTTTCTCTGGAAAGTCAAACCGCTCGCCCTGCAGCCAATCGACATATTTGAAAATATCTCTTAAAAGAAGGAATAAGTAAAACATATTCATGTTTAAATATATCTTTTCTTACGGAGAAAAAGGAACCTGGCTTAGGAATAAAATAATGAGAAAGAGAAAAGCCCAAAACCAATTCAAGTTAAGGAAATTGACAGGAAAGCAGGCTTACCTTTAAATAAGTCCATAGAGACACATAACACATCACAAAATTAAAAGTAGAAATTTTCGTGGTCACTGACCACTTTTTCAACCACTGGAGATTGGAGAAATGGCAATGGCAGTTGCAATTTGAATCTATTACACCTTGTCAGGGTTGCCAACACAGATGAAGAGACTAAAAATTGTTTTTACTGTTGCATATGTATGAATGTGTTCACTTATTATGAATAATCCACTATATTTACACAGTGATGTGTTATGTGTCTCTATGGACTTATTTAAAGGTAAGCCTGCTTTCCTGTCAATTTCCTTAATAATTCCTGGCAAATGCCCTATCTTTTTATAAGATAACAATTCAAGTTAAGAGTTCCAAGTAGTTGATAGAACATAAAATGTATCAAATTTAACCTGACATTTTGCTTCTCAAAGGGGTTTCTTTTTCTTCACATATAGATTGGGAAGGATTTATTTTGTAGTGAACTTGTTAGAGTTGTCTCCGTCCCTTCTTCCTTAACGTATTAGAAATAGAAGAGAACTTTACCCGTTGTCACATAATGTGTTGTTTTTTACTTCTTATACCTTTTACCTTAAATCTTTTGAGAATTATTTTTAATTAATTTTTTGTGATAGTAAGTATGAGTTATTTAGAGTGGGTAGCAGACATTTCCCAACACGACTAGTAAAAGAATTTTTCAAGATGTTGCTGGATGTGGAGTTTGACCCTGTTTTCAGGTGGTGAAGTACCTAAAACATACGCAAACCAAGCAAAATCTGGAAATCACAAAAGAAAATCTAACAGAGGGATTTGTAACAAATAATCTAATTAAAAAATCATAACAGAAAACAATAATAAAGGACAAGCGAACATAATGGAATGTGTTCCATCATCTGTCCTAACTACTGCTTCCTATCAGGATTTTTTGTTGTTTCAACTCAACTACCATACAATCCTTTGTTTTGTATACTATTTCTATTGTGATTTTCCAGCTTTTACTGGGTTTGCATAAGACTAAACAAAGGTCAGAAAGAATGGGAGTTTACAATTAGTCGAATCATCAATGAAAATCTCTCTAGGACACAAGACGATTGGTAAATCCATTCTCTAACCACCAGTCCCATCTAAAGGCTCTACCTCTTCAACTGATCGTAAACTTACTCTGTTAAAGAGGCAGTTGAAGTCCACGTGGAACACGTCGCCGCACGTTGAGTCGATCAGTATGTTCTCACCGTGCCTGTCGCCCAACCCCAGCATGTAGCCCACGATGCTCATGACGGCCAAGGTGCGGACGTAGGCAGTCCGTGCGAGGTACCATGCTGTAGGGTGACTGAACTCGCGCAAGTACCAGTCTCGTAACACTGGCGGGTGTCTCGGCAGCAGCTTCTCCAGGAAGACAGCTCGCTTTTTGGACAGCGGGTCTGACTTCCCTGTGAAAAGACAAAATTGTAAGGGATGTGGTTGGAATAGCGTAATCACCTGAAAAGATAACATGCCGGCGCAAGAAAGATAATTACTATCACACAACAATCTATAACTAGAATACTTTATTCACTGTTTTAATAGGCGTTTTAACTGAGGAAGGTTTGTACATTGATTAAGGAGAGTAGGGGAAATTCAATATCTATGTTAAACTCATATCCAGTCTAAATTTAATTGAGCCACTGACAGTGCTTTTGTCAACTACTAATTATTCTCACTTACACCGACTATTTGACCAAGCTGTAGCGTATTTTACATTACATCAATTGTCTGGGTAGCCGAGTATTTATAATGCTAGTCTTTCAAATCTGAAGGTCATGTCATCATTGTTTCTCAGCGAGCCTTAGGAAAACTAAGAGGTTTGTATAGGTTCAGAGGCTTGTTTCCTGAGGCTGCTCGTGCAGTCACTAATTTAGTATTTTACCGTCACTGTCAGTATTTTACTACTGCTTCCCTGCATATGGCAACAGCATTTCTCGGGAAGACATGTATCGGTTGCAACGCCTGCAAAACTCCACAGTCCATTTCATTTTCTGTTTGAAAAAATTTGATCATGTCTCTCAATTGCTTCCCCTTGAAGCCATGTGCAGGTTGTTGACGTGCTGCATGACCCACAGAGTGTTGTCTCTTTGTAAGCCCAACTATTTACGCGAGAGGCATTCTCTTCGGTTTCCCAGCGCAGGACCTTGTCATGGTGGGAGGTTTTACCTCCCAAAAGTTTCTCTAGAGCTTGGGAGGAAGAGCTTCTCATATTTTGCACCCTCGGTGTACAATGGTCTTCCTGACGGCCTGAAGGTTGTTGCATCAAGCAAAATATTTAAAGAAAAACTTAAATATATGTTTTAAAAAATGTTTAATTATAGTCTAAGTATATAACAGCCAAATAGGTAGTAGTATAATATATTTATCATAGTGACAAAAGTTTGTGTACCTACTAGAGAAAGGCTCAATAAAGACATTTTTATTTATTTATTTAAGGTCGATAGTTAGATTCCAAGCGAGATAATTTCCATATCAAGATGCCATTTATCGTTGGGCTTTATATTAATGATGCTATTGAACGAAAAGGTCAATGTTTGATATAGATAGTAAAAAGACCGTTCTCTTCAAAACGTTAAAAAAATGGACAGAAACTGGAATGGCATTGTCACCTTTTTGGTAGTGTAAAAATAATAATCCTTATTATAGGCAGACGGGTTTTTTAGTTAAATTTGTAAATATAATTCACAACATGTGATTTATCTAAGACGACAAAGTCACAGTTCAACTGGGTTGAATCTCTCTTGTGAGAACTACAGTAAAACCTCACTAAACGACAAAGAGGAGCGGCTGTTTTGGATAGCCTTTTTGTGGTTTATCAACAGTTGAAATTCTAGGTTATCTTTTCAAAGAGATTCACATTCGCAGTTCGCAGTTTTTAAAGCGATATAGCAGTCAACATTAAATGTGAAACAATCCACAGTTATTATTTCTGTCGTCTATCTTCACAGTTGGTGCCATGATGACACAGGCTTCACATTGTGCCTAGTTAATTTTCCAATTGACTTGTATTTTTTACTACGGTTTCGATTTAACAGGATGTGTTTGAAAAGGGGTTTCCTCTACTAATAACTAGCCAAATTTTACAACTCGTTTTCTTCTGGTTGGTCGGTCAGTACAAGGTGAAATTACCACAAGCACACTCCTTGTATTCCTTGTGTGTCACAGTGATGCCCATCTGTTTGTAGGCGGAGTTGAGGATGTGTCGCAAGCCCAGCAGGTTAGGCACCCACTCGATGATGCCGCTGCTATCACTCAAGGGAACTGCGCTCTGTCAACACAACACAATCTCTCGCTTACTATTGGATTTTAAATATTTCAACTGTCTACACTAGAAGAACATTGTACAAAATATTTGTAACATTAACGTAAATATTATTTAGATCGCCCCCCTCTTGATTGATTTGAAACCATATTCCTTTAAATACAATTTTTTTTTTGTACACCTGGTTGATTTCCTTTTAATTGATTATACTAGTGGGGTGGGATAGCTGAAAAATATTTCACATCTGGCAACCAACGCGCCCCTTTGGATTCAGATAGTACATGCGTAGACGAGTCCAAAAAGCCCGGGACACAAATTTTTCGGGCACTCTATGGGTGTTGATGACGTAATCAAAATGGCCGCCAAAGTTGTGTGACACGATTCTACATTTCCCTAAATAACTCAGATTCATATTTTAAAAGTGCCCTACATTTTTAGTGATTATTAATCACGAAAAAATTACCTTTCCGATGGTGTATATTACTTAATTGTTTAGATTCATAATACTACGAATATTTATAGTTTTATTAAATATTTTGTTTTTATTTAGATTTTTTAAAGTCATTTTGCTAAGTGTCATGGATACCGTTACACGTTGCTGAAAACGTCTTACATACACTTTTTTGTCAGAATATTACCTTTCTAACGATATATATAACTTATATTTTAATACAAAAACACTGCTGAAAATTTGCCACAACAATGTAGTGGTACACAGTGAGTCGTTATGACACCAATGCAATTTATATGGGGTTCGAAAAGTAATAGCGCTATTTAGGGCTATTAAACTTTCACTTCCGTTTTAAAATTAGAGACAATAAAATTAAGTACAAGAATTAAATACCCCCGCCACAGCCAACCTGCCGACTAAGCGAATTTCCATTTGTCTGAATTGATTTTCAATTAAATATATTTAAATAACATTATGTTTAACAAGTACCTAGGTTTGCTGCTACAAGGAAACTAATAAATTGTGTTTTTAGAACAAAACGCTTTGAAATGTGACAGTGTATTTGTTTTCTAAGCTCTTTAAAAAGGTCCAAAGAGAAATTGGGAAATTTTCTGTTTTTTAAGGTAAAAAATGAAAAAAAAACACATTTTTTACCCCATAAAAGCCCCCGTAAAACCCCATTCCCATGGTCCGATCATGCTGGTTCGCGAACTCATTAAATTTTATCCCGCTTTACACCTTTAAACCAAATTTCATCAAAATCGGACAAAAATTACTCAACTTATCCCGTTTACGGACGTATATCTTCTAATATATAAAATTCTCGTGTCACAGTGTTTGTCTGCAACCTCCTCCGGAACGACTTAACCGATCGTTATGAAATTTGGTGTGTAAATTCTGTAGGTATGCGAATCGGACGTAAACTATTTCCCGTTTCGAAATTCTTTAAAGGGCTCCGCCCCAGTGGCTCTGGAGTTTCCCATGTTAACCTTATGAGAAATGGAATTAATGAATCTTAACAGCTGTTCAATTAAACAAGTTGGTTCTGTTCTATGATGTTCAATAGCATTAAAGTTACAAGGATTACCAACAGGGTGCAGCACTATTATTTCTTTTACATTTATGACAACAGCTAATTTGCAACCCAAAGGTGAGTGAGCGTAGCGAACGAACTTCAACCTGGAGGCGAGTTAGCGTAGCGAACGAGCTAACCTGAAGGCAAGTGAGCGCAGCGAACGAGCTCCAACCTAAAGGTGAGTGAGCTTAGCGAACGAGCTCCAACCCAAAGGTGAGTGAGCATAGCGAACGAACTTCAACCAGGACGTGATTGAGCGATGCGAACGAGATCATCTTGAAAATTAAACGTAACGGTACTTTCTTTCCATCGGTCTGTCTTAGGGGAAACCTATAACTTAGGCGATACGAAGTTCGTCGGGTCAGCTAGTACATATATAAAAATTTGAACGCATGGTGTTTTTGGCCTCTGGGAATATCAAAATGAATAAGTAAATCGGTCCTGAGTCTAGGTCTTACCGTGCCACCTACAGTAATAGCTACTTACCCATAGGGAAATTCGTTAAAACAAAAGAGTGTACAATACAATATTGTTTAAATTTTATATCCAAATTCATAAATATCATATACATCAAAAATATAATACAGGCTTAAAACAAACAGATTAACCCAGTGACAAAGTAGTGTTGCCATATTTTAATAGATAAAGACACTCTCGCCAATCCAGTGAGAATACATTAAAATGATTCGGATATTGATATGTACTCTAGTTTTTTCAGGAAAATGCCGCGTAAAATGGCTCTTGGGGCGTGACAGACGGAAGACAGACAGACAGAAATTGAGATGAGACTTGATTCGGCTTCTTTAATGTATAAAACGAAAAATAACCCAAAAATTTATGAATCTGAGCAATGTACAGACAAAACTCTAATAAAAAAAAAAAAAATTGTATTAAAATTTTCAGCAGTGTCCGACAGGGACCGATTTACTTTTTCATTTTGATGTCCCCAGAGGCCAAAAACATCATTCGTTCAAATTTTTATATATACAGGGTGATTATTACTCAGTGTGACAAAATTTTTTTGGTGTAAGTACAAAGTAAATGCAGTGTGATGATGCATATAAAAGGTTCCAAGTCTAAAAATTAGCTTCCCAAAAAATTATTTTATGTTTTTAAAAAACAACTATGTTTTCAAACTTAATTCAGCTATTTCTCAATTACCTGTAAATGGATTTGAGTAAATAATGTCAGTTTCGTGTTCTACATAAAAGTTTGAATAAGAATAATAGAAAATGACGGGGGATTAGTTGTAAAAACTCCATTGTAAATAGATTCAAAGATAACAATTAAGAGGTCTATTGCATTTGTTCACACCCTGTATACAAAAAAAGCGTCCGAATATGGTAAAAACAGCTCCATTTTATAAGCTTTCCAACCATATGCTGCACCATTGAGCTTTATGTATGCTTATGTACGCTTTAGTGGTTTGAAGGCTACAAAACATGGTGTCTTTAACATTTAAAACATAGAAAGACGGCAAGCAAAAGTTGTATTTATGTTTCAGCTTCAACAGTAAAAAAAGTAAAAAAGTCCCCTGTTTTCTGGTATTCAAAACACTTAAACAAACAAAGAATATCTAAACCTCAATAGTGTAGCATATGGTTGGAAAGCTTATAACATGGCGCAGTTTTTAACATATTCGGACACTTTCTTGTATACAGGGTGTGAAAAAATGCAATAGACCAATGCTTTTTAAATTTTTATCAAACGTCTTAATTTTTATATTTGAATCTATTTACAATGGAGTTTTTACAACTGATCCTCCGTCATTATCTATTATTCTTATTCAAAATTTAATGTAGAACACGAAAATGACATTATCTGCTCAAATCCATGTACAGGTAATTGAGAAATTGCTGTGTTAAGTTTAAAAACATAGTTATTTTTGAAAAACATAAAATAATTTTTTGGGAAGCTAATTTTTAGACTTGGAACCTTTTATATGCATCATCAAACTGAATTTACTTTGTACTTACACCAAAAAACTGTTGCCACTCTGAGTACCAATCACCCTGTATTTACAAAACTTAAAAAAATTATTTTATGTTTTGTCCGTGAACGCGATAACTTGAGTAGTTTTTGTCTGATTTTGATGAAATTTTCGTTTAAAGGTGTAGAGCGAGATACACTTGAATGAGTTCGCAAACCAGCATTATCGGACCATGGAAACGGGGCTTTACGGGGGGTTTTATGGGGTGAAAATGGATTTTTTCTAATTTTTGACCCTCAAAACACAACATTTCCCAATTTCTCTTTGAACCTTTTTAAAGAGCTTAGAAAACAAATAATTTAGTATATCATAGTGTTTTTTTCGTTTATTGGTAACGGAGAAAATTGAAAAAATTGTAAATTTAAAATTCCCATATTATTCTTATGGAGGATACTGTAAAATGGTGTAGTTTTATTGTTTATGTATATATTTTGATCAAACTTGGCAAATTTATTTATTTTATACTAAGCTATCAATGTTTTACTAAAAAACACAATTTATTCGTTTCCTTGTAGCAGCAAACCTAGGTACTTGTTAAACATAATGTTATTTAAATATATTTAATTGAAAATCAATTCAGACAAATGGAAATTCGCTTAGTCGGCAGGTTGGCTGTGGTGGGGGTATTTAACTCTTGTACTTAATTTTATTGTCTCTAATTTTAAAACGGAAGTGAAAGTTCAATAGCCCTAAATAGCGCTATTACTTTTCGGACCCCATATAAATTGCATTGGTGTCATAACGACTCACTGTGTACCACTACATTGTTGTGGCAAATTTTCAGCAGTGTTTTTGTATTAAAATATAAGTTATATATACCGTTAGAAAGGTTCTGACAAAAAAGTGTATGTAAGACGTTTTCGGCTACGTGTAACGGTATCCATGACAGTTAGCTAAATGACTTTAAAAAATCTAAATAAAAAACAAAATATTTAATAAAACTATAAATATTCGTAGCATTATGAATCTAAACAATTAAGTAAAATACACCATTGGAAAGGTAATTTTTTCGTGATTAATAATCACTAAAAATGTAGGGCACTTTTAAAATATGAACCTGAGTTATATAGGGAAATGTAGAATCGTGTCACACAACTTTGGCGGCCATTTTGATTACGTCATCAACACCCATAGAGTGCCCGAAAAATTTGTGTCCCGGTCTTTTTGGACTCGTCTACGCATGTACTATCTGAATCCAAAGGGGCGCGTTGGTTGCCAGATGTGAAATATTTTGGTGTAATTTGTTGCTAACCCACCCCACTATACACATTTTTATGATCCTAAGCCTTTGATTTGCTTTGCATCTTTAATTCTTTACACCTGTAGTTAAGGAAAACCCCCAATTGGAGTTGTTTGAAACCCCAATAGCTTGAAATACCCAAACATTCAGTCGCTTAACCTTTTCAACTATGAACACTTACATAAGTTCTGATATACAATCCTCGTTCCCGAGCTTCGGGGTCACGTTGGAGATACATGTTGACGATAGAATTGAACTCCATCATCCGTGAGTCCAGTCTCAGGTCATCCTGGTACAAACATTTAGCAAACAATGTTACCGTATAAGATTTGTAGATCTTGCAGGTACGTGTAAAAGTCAAATGTATAGGTTTATTCAATCCAGCAAAAGATAGTTTTTAGAGGTTTAGATTTTATAAGCCCACAAAATAAGCCTAGACATTTGAAATATAATACCTTAATCAAATATTAGTGGTAAGTTTTTTTATCAAAATCGTCGTAGTTGATGTGAGCCACCGACATATTAAGCTGATGTAAATTACTAATTTATATTGAATACACAAACGTTTATAACAAGTCAAACTGATTGAGTGACTTGCACAGCACAGCTTTATGTTGAGCTACAGCAACCGTTAAGACCCATATACTGTTAGCAACAAAAAATAAGGGAGAAAATAGAATTTTAGACACTCGGGCATTCTGTGGCTGGCTCATAAGTAGGGATAGACGAGATTGAAATTTTAGTTCGAGACGAGACGAGACGAGATTTTTTATTTCTCATAAAATTTCGAGACGAGATCGAGACGGGATTTCCCTTCTCATACACAATGGGAAATGCACGTTCAAAATTTTTACCTGATTTTGTAACATTGTTAGATGACTGTTTAAATAGAAAAATAATGATAATAGGCAAGAATATTTACAATCTTTTATTTAAAAACATCAGCATAACATTTTTTTATTAATCACGCCTAACTTATTAAAAATGCCTACGATTAGGAAACATAGTGATATCAGTTAGGATAGAGTTCTACTTATCCTAAAATAAAATAAATCATAAAATAAAAGCAATATTAATTTTTATAAAATAGTTACTTGTTTTGACTTTTTATAGTAATAAAACATTCCTCACACTGCTTACACTTAACAAAACTTCTCAAATGTTATTAAAGTAATATTATTAAAATAATTAAAGTAATATTTACATTTATAGAATCTAACAAAAAACCACTAAGTGGTAACACTTTCCCCGCCAAGTCAGCAATCCAAAAAAGTTAATAAATCATTACTTTTTCCGCCAAGAAAAACAATGTAATGTATGTAAGTTTGGCAACTTGGCGGCAGACTTTTGCTTGGTTTTTTTTCATTTAAGTTACGTTCGTGGATAATTTCACAAATCAACTTCTCTAATTAATTAGTCCAACTAAGTATAATTTATGAAATGTGGCACAAATAAGGTCAAATTTTGTAAAATAAGCTCTCACCTAGCAATGTACCAATGGGAGGGATACTTGCTCAATGAAACTAGTTTTATGGTATTTTTTAAAGGGATCGAGCAAAAGTCTGCCGCCAAGTTGCCAAACTTACATACATTACATTGTTTTTCTTGGCGGAAAAAGTAATGATTTATTAACTTTTTTGGATTGCTGACTTGGCGGGGAAAGTGTTACCACTTAGTGGTTTTTTGTTAGATTTTATTTATTTTTGTAGAAAATTAACAGTTAAAATAAAAATCCTCTTTTCTCTGATATATAGACCACGGCACAACTACATCTCATTTAATTTCAATAATATTGTTAATGTAGAACTAAATTCTACATTTTTGGTCTTATCTGCTTTAAACAGATTAAAAACTTTTTGACACACGTACCAAAATTACTATTTAACTTACCCACTGGGCTTAAACTCAGTTTCAAATTTCATCAATGCTCATCTTGAACAACATAAAATGTGTTGATGTTACATAAGTGTTCTAATAATTAAACCCGTATATCTAAAGACTAGTGTAAATTGAGCCCTTATTAGAGATGTAAAAATGTAATCAAACTAATTAGGTTTGTTAGAAATAGCATAAGGCAAAACAAATATTGAATAACTCATTTATCCTAAATTTACATATCATTTTTAATTGCTTGTTTAACATATGTAGAGTGATTTTCCCGATCGTTTTATTTGTTTTAGTGTATCAAAACATAGAACAAACCTTAGTACTAGCGTACTAGTACTAAGTTTCAAGTTCCTAGGTTTCATATGTTTTGATAAGTAGTATTAAACTGTTAAAAATGACGAGCTGCTGTACCAGTGTACCATCGGTACACTGCATTTTTCAATGGAAAGTATCGGGGAATATCACTGCTCTAAGTAATTTTATATAGTAATCCAAGTAGCACACATCGTTGGCCCAACGTTGGGAAATGGTCGGCACGGTTGGGAAATGGTTGGCAGAAGTTTTAACGATTTGCCAACGTTGGCCCAACGGAAACTGGTATTCGTTGGCCCTACAAAAGAAAGAATCGTTGGGCATTCGTTGGGTTTAAGTATAAAACATTCTAAAACGAATTTTAACAAATTGATTTATTTAAAAGTACATACATGTTATGGCAGCAGAATATAAGACAAATATTGTAAAAATTTGGATCAATAATGAATGTAGTCAGATGATGTGATACTAGATACAGTGGGGAACACCTGCTTAACATATAATAATTATTATAATTAATTTTTTTTTAATATTCTTTAACTTATTTAAGCAAGTTTTTAATAGTTATAGAGAAAAGATTAATTAATTATATAACAATCAATTATAACAGTAGCCTACTAATCCAATGAATGGTAATTAAATAATCTATATTCAAATACTAGTATCCTCTCCAACTACCAGAAAAACAATTCAACTACTTGAGGCCTAAACAGATAAACAGAATCATATTATACTGTAGCATCAAAAATATTTAAAGTATTAATTGTGACCATTGCACCTGTCGGCTACTCTTTGACCACTTGAAAACACCCATTGTCAACAAGCACAGTTAGCTCAGAGGTAAGGTGTGAGGCTCACATGTCGAAGGTACCGGGTTCGAGACCCGCCCCGTCTAAAAAATTTTTATTTAGTTTTATTTTCAAAATAAGTTTTTATGAACTATTTAATCAATTTACTCAACTCATAATTATGCTTTGCATACAAAATCTTTATTATTTTGTGTTTTTTATGTTTGTGCCCAATGGGATGGTTGGCCCTTCCGCAAAAATTGGTTGGTTGGCCAACCGTAAAGGCGGTGACACACTATCGATTTTTTCCCCGATCAAGACCCCGAACCGAGCAGGGAGAAGGGAGAAGGGAGATAAATATCAGCAAAATTTTACTCCGAACATTTCCCCGAACATGACCAAGACCAGACGAATTCTACCGAGCGCGGCAAAAGGAAGTTTGGAGAGAGATAGAGAGTGTGTGCGAGTGAGAGCGCGGAACTATCAATGCTAGCGCAGGCGGCCGCTCGGTGCGGCGCTCGCGACGATGTACGGGGCGAAAATGTACCGTGACACACTATCGTACATCGGACCGTACATCGGACCGATCTTTTCTTTGATCTTTCGCCAAAAAACCGCCTCCAGAGCGCTCGTCTCCCTGCTCGGCCTGATGTCTTGTTCGGCGTCTTGATCGGTGTACGGACTCGTGACACACTATCGAACATCCTCCCTTCTCCCTTCTCCCTGCTCGGTTCGGGGTCTTGTTCGGGGAAAAGATCGATAGTGTGTCACCGTCTTTAGACTGAGTGCCAAAACATACCGTTGGCCAACGATCTACAGAAACGTTGGGCCAACGATTTGCCAACGATTTTTGCTACTTGGGAAGTAGTTCAAATCATTCAGTATACCTGAAAAAAATACTTTATAAAAGTATTAAAATAATTTTTCAGCTGTTCCTATGAATTTCTCTAACATTTAATTAATTAAGACTTAATCGCAGCTGGTCCTTCTTTTGTTTTGATTTTAATCCCATGTTATTTAAATGGGCCAAACTCGTACTTTGAGGGCTTGCCAAGGGTTTATGGGTCAACGCACCGACTTGAGACCCTCAAAAGGCACATCTACACGCTAAGGGCTTTCAAACAACATAAAAAACATTAAAATTGAGCCAGTGGTTTGGGCTGTAGGTCCGTCAACATTTAAGGAGAAGAAGGAGAACACGGAAAATTTGTGAATTTTCAAACTAGTTTTTCTTGGCTCAAACACAACCGTTTTTTAAATTCTTTTTTTTAATTTTGTTGAGAATGATTGCCCCTATCCAGTAGATGAACAATTATTTTAATAGCTTTTGTTTCTTCAGAGCTATAGACGAGTAAAAAAGCCACTTTGTCACGTCATGTATATATACACTGCAGCAGCTGTGTACCGCTGGGGGACTTGGCGGGGCGGAACGCTGCCGCGTTCCTTAATTAATTAAATAAGAACGCCTTCGCAAAGGAAACGCAACTACAACACGCTCCTGTATTGCGGGTATTGCATTGACTTTCTGCAGGCGTTTTTAATTTTTTTTTTATTTTTTTTTTATTCTCGTCTCGATAAAAATCTCGGCAAAAAATAAATCTCGTCTCGTGTAACGAGATTTAAAATTTCCCGAAAATTTCCCGAAATTTCGAGACTTGACCATCCCTACTCATAAGTCATAATACTATTTTCTTTTTTTAATAAAAAATGGCTACAGCTCGTCCAATATAGGTAGGATGTCTACTTCAGTATCCAATAGTCAATGGTTTAACTCAAAATTTTTAACACTAAATAGACAAAATTACTTATATTTCATTTTTATAGACAAATGTCAACTTACGTTTGGCTTGCATAGCAATGAATAAATTTTTCCGTCCGTGCCAATCAAAGAAATTCTCTTAGGCTTCTGCAAAGACGGAACAATGACTACCTCTTCCTTCATACCAGCAATGTAGACCAGATCTCTTGAAAATTATAAATAGTAAGTTCAGTAAATGAAAAAAATCACTAAATGGTAAGTTGTAGTAGTAAATGGTATAATAGTAGGTTGAAAGAAAAAAGGCAAAACCTACTTTGGCTTATCTTTAGTCAGGTAGCCTAACTTACTAAGTGAGTATGGAGACTAGTTTTTTGATTAGTCAAATAATATTCATCCCAGTAGGGTACTGGAACACGATTAAATTTCTCAGCGAAGGTAGGCACACTAATTAAAGGAATTGAACATAAAGTTACAATATTAGAAGAAAATATCCTTAACATTATTCTTGAGCAGGTCTTCGGGATTTACTATCCTGGATGTGAAATCAGTTAAGGCGGTCGACACACGGGAAGACTGAAACCCAACTAAAGTTGAAACAACTGTTTTGTGACGCGATTACGATTGCAGTTGCGTTGGTTAAATCCACACGGGCGCGACTGAAATAATTGTACTTGAGTTGAGACAGTGAATGAGTTATAATTTTGCTATAACGATACTGTGTACTGTGTATGGTGTTTGGAATGAGTAGTAGTGATGAAGAGCAGGTGTTTTATAGACAACCAAGAAAGCGTAGAGGACACATAAGGTATTGGGTACATCCTTATGTCGAAACAAATATTCAATGTAGGCTCTTTGTAACTGCTGCTGCATTACAAGAAACGGACGCAAAATTTCAGTCTATGTACAGGATGTCAAAAAGTACACAGGGTGTTTTTCAACCTCCTGAACCAACTGCATATTCAACTTCTGATCACTCATTATTCACTAGAATGTTCTGCAAACTATGTAGCTTCTAAAGTACACTTAACTTAGGTAACTATTTTTTTTTTTAATAAAGCATATTTTACAGAATTATTAGTGATTAAAAAAAAAAAATTGGAAGCTGAAATCTTAAAAAAATACTTAATTATGAATTTTTAACTAGACCTATTAATAAGTTTAGTTCTTCAAGTACTCACTCGGGGAAGGGATTGTGGTACTCGGCCGTGGTGCGTGGAAGGGAGATAGTGCGGAAACGCTGTAACGGAATCACAATTCTGCTGAGCCTAGGGTTAGACACCAGCATGTACAGTGAGCGGTAGAATGTTTTAATGTTCACACTCGAGCATCTCTGGAACATCATAGTGCCAAGTTTTGACAAGTGGTAAAGGACAATGCTATTGCTGCAGTGAGATAAAACAGGGATCAATTAGTTGCTTGTAAGACGAAGGGGCGTAGTACACAGGCTTATCATAATATATACTTACACCTCTTAGTCTTGCGAGCGTCAAATTATGCCTATTTTTGTGCTTTCCTCTAGGGATGGACGAGATTGGATTTTTAATTCAAGACGAGACTAGATTTTCTATTTCTTATAAAATTTTGGGACGTGATCGAGACGGGATTTCCCTTCTCACCTCATTTTGTAACATTGTTAGATGACTGTTTAAATACAAAAATAATAATAATAAGCAAGAATATTTCAAATCTTTTATTAAAAAACATCAGCAAATGTATATTAATTACGCCTAACTTATTAAAAATGCTTATAATTAGGAAACACGGTGATATCAGATAGGATAGAGTTAAACTTATCCTAAAATAAAATAAATCATAAATTAAAAACAATATTAATTTGTATAAAATAGTTACTTGTTTTGGCTATGTTTATAGTAGTAAAACATGCCTCACACTGCTTACACTTAATAATTAAAGTAATATTTACATGTAAAGAATTAATTAAATAAGAACGCCTTAGCAAAGGAAACGCAACTACGCGCTCCTATATTGCGGGAATTGCATTGACATTCTGCAGGTGTATTTTTTTAATTCTCGTCTCGAAAAATCTTGACCAAAAAGAAATCTTGTTTTGTATAACGAGATTGAAAATTTGTCGAAATTTCGAGACTTGACCATCCCTACTTTCCTCTATACAACGAATGCTAAAATCCAAATTCTAAGCAAGTTTTTTGGCGGACATGTACACAATTCATGAGTTGCACCAGATCTGACTAATACTGGATTTGTTCTGAGGGATCAGACCTATTGATGGAGCCAATTACGAGTGACGAGCGGCTTACAAACACGAGAAATATTTCCCAACTACTGTCGCTTTTGTTATTTTGTAAGATCATCTCCATTGGATTTATTTCATAACACTTTTTAGGATCCTTTCCCCCCTCCCTCCCCTACACCCATCCTAACTAACATGATCACCACCAGTCTGAAGCACTAACAATACAAATCTCTAGTGCAGCCGATTACATATTCTACTTTGTCAATATGAGTGTTTTTTCACTGTGTTATGCTATAAAACAAAAGGTGGATAGTTTATATGACTTGAAGCTCATATACTAATAAACCTTTCCAAAACGGAGGTTTAAGAAACTAGGAAAACTAGGGTAAATTTGCAGAGCACAGCAGTACAACTTAAATTTAACTCAACTAACCCCCTCCACGTTCTTGTTGCCGAGCTCGATGAGGCGGTTGAACAGGTCTCGGAAGTCATTGATTGTTTGGTTCAATTCCTTCTTCTTGAGTATTTCACTGCACTTGAGCACCTCCTCACATCGCTGTACTCGCACTGTGTATGGCGACTGGAACACAGAAAGTGACCTGATTAATCTGACAGCATTAGATAATTGTCAAGAAGTAGTGCTAAGTATATTGATTTGTGAATGGCAAAACCTTATCGTTCATAGTACCCATAAATGACATTTTGATCGTTGCTAACTTTTAAATCTCAGGTGTTAAATTTGGTTTGAATACAAATGTAGACTATTTTGAATGGTTACATGAAGGTGTGTTCAATTGTTTAGGTTTAGCGTTGGATCTCCTTAACCTCAGAAGCTAACAAAGCCAAGAATTCTAAATTTCAAGTCTTATTAAAAAAAGGAGTCCTAAATCTTGAATCAGTGAACTTTTTTATCTGATGAAATTCCAAGTAAAAAGAATCACTCATACTAACTTACATTTTGAATACATACAAAAACACAAAATAACGTTCAAAACGGTATGAGCCTCAATTGCAGTAGTGTAGGTGAGCATTAATTGCAACTACAGTAACACTTCATCAGTTTCTTGGGGTTGCGATCATATCAAAAGATTCCCAACAGAAAAATATGACTTATTCAAATCCCGCCTAACAAAAATGACCCTAAAAATCCCGAATGTTAGGGACTTGATTGAACTTCCCTATCCAGATGTTATTATTAGACCTTGAAAAAACACACAGGTCATAGTGGGCCAAGTGTAAATGAGATTTTTAATTAGATTCTTAAAGGTGTTTCAATCTTTTCTCGAATATCGGGGGATTCAAGATTCGTTTTGCCGTTTAAATTCTTACTTTATAAACAGACAGGAACATCCAGAGAGCTTGTTGAGGATAGGCGATGATGATCTTGATGATGATAGCCTTGAGTATCTCATAGCAGCCATCTTGAGGGTGGCAGATGCGAGAGATAATCTGAGAGAACGCTGTCATGAACATGTACGTCGGCAGCCGCTTGCGGTACGCTTCTGTTGAACATCATACAAAGTGTGATGTAAGCATTGGTACTCGGAAACCACTCATTGTTGCTCACTGTTTCATTGTTATGAAGAACAGCTACCAGACTTTGGTGGGTTTAGAGTTAGTAGGGTAACAAGGGAGGGGGGGGGGTTCTTAAGTCAGGAGGGAATGTTAGGTTTGTAACGTATCATATAATGTAAAAATTTCAAAGCCTAAAATAACAAATTATGAGACAATCTAAAACAAATTTAAAAACAGAGTTTTTGCCGGCAGTCTTATCCCAACGAAAAAGGTACAAAAATTAAAATTTGAATGTTTCACTGTAACTGACAGGTTTGAGTTGAGAGAGATGTCTTTAGGGACTTATGCTCTTCATACTTCCAATACAGTTGACTCTCAAAGATCTGAAACCTTCATGATCCAGAGGGTATCAGATTGCGGAAAATGAGAACTATACTGAAATAGCTAAGAAATATGATCTTACGATGCCTTATGCACACCTCAATTATTGGAAATCATTGAGTTAATTAATGTTTTAAATTTATTCTGGGAAGTTGTTAAGTACATTTTCCTGCCCGTGTAACATAACGCACCTTTATACAGAGCTGTTCACAGAATTAAAAAAAAATACTCTTGGGTGAACTGCCCTATTAACAGTGATAAATGGGAGTATTTAACCACTCACCAACAAGTGCAGTCATCTTATTCATAGCGGCCTTGCGCTCGGAGATGCCCTCGACACCGCGAGGCTTTCTTGTGTCCTGCGCAAGCTGAGTGCCAAAGTCCAGCCACGTACTCAACATCCGTGGCATGGACTGGTAGATGTATTCGCAACCGTACTGCAGCGACTTGCCGAACATGTTGATCAGTTGGACCTGGCATTCACTGCAGAAGAAAAAGTAGAATATTCTCATAGGTTCATAGGTCATAAGCAGTTTACTTTTTTTCATTACATTTATACTTTTAGTATGTTGACAATTAATTTGTTTAAAGTAAAAGTGCCTGCCACAAACCACCTTAGAAATGTCGTTTCAACGTTTTAACTTAAGTGGCACTTTGTATAAGAGAACAAAAAACACTTTTAAGGAAAAACGGTCCAAACTACTCAAAATTCTATTGAGGATTGAATCTCTATAACCAAATCCACAATGCTTAATCACAAGGCTAGCAAGATATATTTAAATAATTCACATACTTGAGGCACATAACGATCGGATAATCCAAGTGTTAAATAGGCTGCAAACATTTTTAAAGCCAAATTTGCAATCTTAACTAATTAACACACACTCACTACCCGGTGATACAAACAAGGCATTCTGTTTAGAGAAGTGTAACAATTGGTAGGCAATGTGTACTTCACAATGAACCTAAATAGATAAGTTTGCAAATACTGTATTACCCTCTCTAATTCGGCACTCCCCACTCCGGCACTCCAGTATTCCGGCATCTTTGACGGGTGAGGTCTTCCGCAATTGCGGCACAATTCTGATTATCTCCCACGGCCATGTAGACATCATAATCTACTCCCGGGGACACGGAAACGTCATCGTCGTCTTGCGCGATCGCATCAAACTCATGAACACCTCCCGCAGTCACAGAAAACGTCATTGACGTCTTGCGCGATCGTGGCAAAATCATGAACATCATCCGCGGACATTTAGATGAACGACTACGATAACATCACGTAGCCATGCCCGATCGTGGCAATAGCGGTTTCCGATCGTGCGATCTTTAGAGACGTCTTTTAAGTGTATTTATTGATAACATTCCAGTAATCCGGCAGTATGACGGTCCTATATATGCCGGATTACTGACAGCCTACAGTATAACAGTAGTCCTACCATTTGACTGGTTTGCGTTAATAGCTCTACTGTACTACAGAATGAAAGTAAACCACTAACAGCTGTTGTGAGAGCTGTGTAGAAGAACGCAGGCACTTGTAGTAACACTGGGCCAAACTGACATAACTCTTCTCCCACGACTGACACACGGCAACTGCTCTCTTGTAGTTCCTCAGGTTGGTGTCCATGTCGATGTTGGCATTCTCATCGTTGTACTGAGCGATAAGTAGATATGCCTGCAACAATGTCTTGTCAGTATGTTGCTTTGTAAATTTTTAATATTGAGCTTCACAAATTTTGTGTGCAAGGGTCATTCTTTAAGTGAGGGCCGTTTGTGCGTTTAGCTTTGCTTATACCCCTCAACTGGCTCGCCGCTTACTGACATCATTAGTGAACTTAATGGTGCCATTTGCAGGGAGCTTACTTGTTTGCTTTGTCGTAAGCTAAGAAAATGTTTAAAACTATAAAATCTCCCGCCGCATGCGAGATAAGGTCAGTGATATGTTTTTTAACTGCAAGAAATATGTATCCGATGTGCAGATATTCATTGCCAGGTGAATGAAGTTTACGGCATGCAATGAGTATGGGTAATGTGTGGAAATGGGATTAATGTTTGCTAAAGGCTCTTTTTGTGTCTTAGACTATGAAGTTGGCTAACCCAACTCTCACCTCGGCACACAATCGTCTCTCGTCTTTCTGCAGACTCTCGTCAGAACTCTGTGTACTGCCTGAGCGATCTGTGTCCATGTTGGGGAAGTTGCGTTCGACTCCTCGCTTGAGTGTGTTGAGTGCAGCCTCAGGCTCAGACTTGGCCCACAACAGACGAGCCTTCTCCACAAACAGTCCCTTCGGCTTGAATGGCTCCACTGTCAATATGTTGGTGTAGGCCTGCTGGAAGTGGCCTGACCTGGGGAAACCGTTCCCAACCGTTATCATCTCAACAATAGATTCAATTTTACAGTTCTCTTAAAACTTATTTTACATAAGTACTTTTCCAGGCCTATCTTGCAGACATTTAGTAGATTAGATTTAATTTATATGCTGCTAGCACGCCAGAGTGCATATAACATTGATTGTTGGATGAATGATTTGTTAGCTTTACTGACCGAGATCAGCTGTTTTTTTTTGTTCCAGAAAATCAAACCAAATTATATCCACTTTTGAACAGTCACAACTTGTTTCCTATTCAAATTTTTCACCATAAAAATTAGTAAAACAATGGCTGAGGTTCAGAAATGAATAAATGACGATTTATGTCTCCAAACCTAACCAATAAAAATCTCATGGAGTTTGATAAATGATGCGATCAAAAACCTAATGACACTTACTTGCGTGCGATTTCAATACTCTTGAGCCAGCTGTTTCCGATCTCGGTGGTGAATAGAGGTTGTAGCTGTGGGTCAATGTCCTTGGCCAGTGACAACACGACCCTTCTCACACCCAAGATCGGCTGAAGCACTCTGTATGATGTCTGAACAACCTTCAGCCGGTCGTCTAGCTCTTTCTGAACAACCTGAGGAGTTCACACTCCAAGTTTAGTATTGAATCACTTGCCAAGATTTTACTGCATAATCATTTTCTATGTTGGGGATCAAGATGATGTTTTACGAGTATGAATCATGTAGGCCTACCCTAGTTAATTTTCAAACCATTAATTTGTCAATGGTAATCACACACCTGTCTGAACATGCTCTCCATCTCCTGGACTGGCCGCCCCTTCATCTTGAACACCATCTGGCCTACTTTTTCCAGTTCAGTGAGAATGTGCAGCCTGTAACACAGGAAAACAATGTAAACCGTCACAATATGAACAGTAGAAAATTTAACGCTGCAAACAGATTACAGTCTAGATGATGAAACCAGTCTCGTGATCTTAACCCCTGGACTGGCTACGGCCTTCAGCCATTGGCCACTCGCCAGGTAGACCTAGGCCCTAGAGTAGTTACCATTTACCTACTAAATCACCATTAGCATTCACTTTGGATACTTAAGTAGACATCTCATCTATATAAACAGCTGCAGTCAGTTTTGAGCCAAAGAGAACATGACTGAGAGAGAGGCTGACATAGCTTGTGCCAGATGATTAAAATTATTCAGGGTGTTTTTATATTTTTTAATGCAAACCATATTACAAGTAGGTACTGTTAGAAACTTTTTAACGACAAAACATGCTCATATGTTGGTATCACTGTTTTCTTTACTTCATTGTTGATCAGTAGTCCTATAAAGTGTTATTAGTGTTATTAGTGTTGTTAGTGTTATTAGTGTTATTAGTGTTGTTAGTGTTATTAGTGTTAAAGTGTGGTTAGTGTTATTGGGAATTTGTTCTAAATAAGACTCAAATGGTGTTTTCGCTTCTCTAAAAAGGACTATGTGAAACTACCACTATGTAACATCAAACAAAGCGCCACCGCCACTTACTTGACCACAACGTCGTAGCCGTGCCGATACCCTATTGCACTCTTGGTGAGTGAACACCCAGCCAAATTGCGGACCAACGCCTGTCTGATGTGGTCCAGTCCGGCCACCATCTCGTCTTGATTGCCTCGAGACAGGTGTAACAATGCATGGCCCAGCGCTGTGCCCCACCCGTCCGTCGTAGTGGCACCCGTGCTCGTCAACAGCTGCTCCAGCTGCGGGAACATGGACAACGCCAACATGGCTTCTGCCTGCTCGTCCACCATGTCACTGCACTTGCCCATGCTGAAACACAACGGATAAATCAGAATTTTTTTGTGGTTTAAAAAATTAGCCTGATACAAAATGATAAATTATCTATCTTTCTTTAATCGTACTAAAGTTTATGTTATTTCATTGCCGTCGAGACTCACCTATTGAGGAACCCCTGAGTAAGCTGTAGAGCAGTAGAGGGCTGGTCCATGCCAAGGTAACACTGCACCATGCCTTTGTAGAAGTCCTCGTCTTCGTTAGACACAGAGTCTGGCAGTTGTACCAACCTCTCATAGCAAGCTGCAGCATCCTGCGATTGCATAGAGTATAGCCAAAAAAGTCTGTCTGAGGTGTTCAAAGTAATGATTTTTTATGACACCACATCCTAGGACGCTAGGATCAGCATCCTAAAACTGTTACAAATTACTTCAGGCAAGACCAACTATTTATCGTAGTTGTCAGCTGATAGGTTTCAATTCGTTAATATCGATATATCGATTGAAAATCATCGATAATAATGAATGTTCCCTTTAACAGGAAAGTACCTAAAAAACTAATAGAAAATCAAGAGTCATTTATGCACATTTGATTTTACGAGAAGTAGTAACAAAACTTTTGGAGATCAGTTTTCAAAAGATGAATTGTTGGTTTTTTCTGCCAACATCTCTATTTTGCTTTTGACAAGAGAGATAAGGAAGATTGTGTATAGTCAACCAGCCCATTAACATTAGAACTCTAAGTTTACAAAACTTATCCTTCTACATTATACAAAAAACTTGATAAACATAAACAGTGATTGCAAGCCAACCTGCAACTGGCCAGTGAGCTTGTGATAATGAATCATCTCTTGCGCGGTCGGCTCTTCATCTCTGATGGCAATGATGCCTTTGAAACTGTCCGGGTCGTTGAGGTGGTAGTAGATTTTCTGTAAACAATAACTCATCAAACTAATTTCATCACTACGGCCAAGAGTTTAAAAATTGTACTGATAGCAGTCTTACCATCCTGCCCTTCTGCTAATATAGGACTTCTTTAGTGCATTCCTTGAAGGGAAATAAATTGAATGAAATGAAGAAAAATTATCTTTAGAAGGACTGTAAACTACTATAGAACTACTACTACTACTATAGAATACTACTATAGAACTACTATAGAATAATACTACTATAGAACTACTATAGAACAATACTATAGAATAATTTGATCTTTCATGGTTTATATAGTAAAATATTCAGTTACTCACTTTGCCTTTAAAACTCACAATACCCATATAAGGTGTCCTTTCCACAAGATTTAATCTGTGTATAGGATATTGAAAATCTGTATGAAATCTAGTGTTATAATTGTGCCGATTATTTTCACTGTGGAGTTTTTCAAAATTTGATTTCACATACAATAAACATTTAAGAATATACAAATTAGGGACGGTTAGAATCTTTAGTTCTTTAAAAAGTTATTTGCAAGAATATTTTGCGGGTTTAAAAGTCATAATTCGAAGTATTCTTTTTTGAAGTTTAAAAAGTTGATACGAATCAGAGGTGACGCCCCAAAGCTCTATTCCATACTGTAAAATTGACGAAAATAAAGCGTGATAAATCATTAGTCTAGTGTTTAAATCAACAACATTTCTTAAGACCATCATTTGAAAACAAACTGAATTTAACTTTTTAGAGGTGTTATGAATGTTATTCTTCCAATTCAATAAACTATCTACATCATTAAAATTTAGCTGTGTTGCTAAGATTTATTTTTTCATTATCAAAATAAACAAAGCCTTCAAGATCGTCCCTACACTGTGCAGTTTGAAATTTTACTATTTGTGTTTTAATGTGGTTCATTTCCAAACCGTTAACTTTAAACCATTTTGACAGATTTTGAAGAGCTTGATTCAATGCTAAACTTAGTTCATGAATGTTTTTTTATTTAATTATGGCTGTCGTATCGTCAGCATATAACAACAAACTAGGTTTAACATTCTTAGGTAGATCATTTATGTACATCAAAAACAATAACGGTCCTAATATAGAGCCCTGAGGCACCCCCATAACAATCTTTTCCCATTCAGAAGCATACTTAATGTTTTCTTTAATAATAACTGTTCTTTGAAAGCGATCGCTTAAATATGATTTCAACCACAAAATAAGTGATTCTGAGAATCTATAGGAGTATAATTTATCAAGAAGAATTTGATGGTGTACACTATCAAAGGCATTGGATAGATCACATAACACACCAATAGTGCTCTGTGACCCATCCAAGCTCTGTGTTATTGAATTTACAAAATGAGCCACAGTGGAAGTGGTACTTTGATTTTTCCTAAAACCAAACTGTTCATCAGCTAATAAGTTATTAGATTCCAGAAAATAGGACATTTGATTGAATGCAATTTTTTCAAATATCTTTGAAAAAGAAGGCAGGACAGAAACAGGTTGGTAGTTATCTGAATTACTCTTAGAACCTTTATTAAATAATGGCTTCACCTCTGCATACTTCAAATGATTAGGGAAAGTGCTATTGGTTAAAGTCTGATTGATGATTATGGACAATGGCTCAGCAACAAACTTAATTACTTTTTTTATCATAGTAGTTGAAATCCCATCCCAACCAGCCGTTTTTTTATCGCTGAGTGACTTGACTATTTTGATAGCTTGCTGAGGTGTAACTAAACTAAAATTAAAAATTGGAATAGCAGGCCTATATGTGATTGATTTTTTTACCAGTTCCATTGCCTTACTCTTGGAAAAATTTACCCCTAAATCCTTCCCTACCTCAATAAATTTAGAATTAAAGTGACTTGCAATAACTGTGCCATCTGAGACTAACACAAACCATGCTGCTTTAGTCTTATTAATATTAGAAGCATGCACAAAATATACAAACGGTAAAAATAAAATCTTGCACCAATAGGCCTGACTTACCAAGTCCAGTTACCGGTACACTTTATGTGATTAGTCACAAACTATCACCAAAACACGCAAATAAGTTGTGGTATTATAACTTTTTAAAGGTTTAAAATGTATTTTTCAACAATTCCTGACCATAATTTGCAATTCAATAATCAAAACAACTCGTAAACAAACATTTACTAGAACGTAAACAGTCGAAATAACAAAAGACAAACCAGCTGCTGTGTAAAGCCGTCTACTATTGCGTAACGGTTTTTAAATGGTTGACCACATTTCACAGCTCAATTGTACAGTAAAAGAGCAAAATGGTTGTAGCCAACCTCCTTCTGTCGCATTTGGTGTGGTTTGCAGCCAGCTTTTTTGAATTGTGATAATGTATGAAGTGATTTTCTAAACGTCTCGCTCCGGGATGCCGGCATTTCTCACACAATCTTGACCGTCTCGCTACGAGACGCCCGGCACTCAAGCTACGACAATGGTGCGTCTCACTAGCAGCACTCAAAAGGGTTAACATTTCCAGTTTATGATTTAAAGCACTGAAACTGTTGGCTCAATATTGATATTTTGTGATCACACTCACCCCTAAATAAGGCAGATAACTTTGTACCAAGTCAGGGTTCTCATTCATATAGTCCTCAAGGAACAGCAGTGCTCGAGTGTACTCCTTGCATCTGAACGATCCATCTGCAATGTCCTTTTTGGAAAAAGTAGACAAAAATTCTGAAAGATAAAATTAATTTCAATTGATTTTTATCTTCCCTCTTTAAAAAGTTAGCACTAGCTATCATGAAAAAACGTCACACTTAATAGGATCAATATTACTGACTAGTGAAATATGCTAAAGATAACACCAATAATACTGTTTAATCTACTGTAAACATAAGATATATTGTTGTTTGTGTGCATTGTTGGTATTGTTGGTATTGTTGCTGTATAACTCACCCCTGAGTTTGTGGTACTGGTCTGCTAGAGTTGACTCCTCACTGGGGTTTATCTGCTGTTTCCTCTGTCTCAGCCAGTGGTAGAGGAAGTCCAACAGTTGGTAGACTGTCTTGGCACACAGAGCGTGAGTGTGACTGCCATCTTGTGTCCACTACGCAAGACAAGAGGCATTTCATAAAATCATGAAGATGTGTGGGATCCTGCTTTGTTCAATCAGGGGAAAAGTTCTTTTTTTGATAGTTTGAAACTGACCCAGTCGTATTCCATCATCAGACTTGTAATGAACGGTATCAGCAATGTGACAAACTTCTGTCATTAGCTTGTCAAAAATGTTTATCTTGAGTGGGAGTAACCATGATATTTTATAGGGAAAATCATAAAAGTTGCAATAACTTTTGAACTGTAATATTTAAAGCAATGGGGTTGCTTTATTTTGTTTAGAATAATTAGAAGGACCATAACATACTTATTTTAATCAAAATTGGTTTCTTTAATTGTTTTTTTTTAACTTTATGTGTTTTACATGGGAAAATAACATAAGTCACAACAACCTTTGGGCCATAATCTTTACAGCAATAGGGGTTGTACGATTGTTACAAGAATTTAAACGGCATTACATGCTAAATTTTAATGGAAATGGTTCAGGCCATTTTTGAGAAAATTTGCTTTTTTCATTATTTTTAGTCACTGACCTTAGTGCTCTGCAGGGATCCGGTGGAGGGGATGCTGCGACAAGTTTCAGGTGTTGGCTGGTCTTCCTCCCCGCGGTGGAACAACACAGCGGAGATCTCCTCTCCGATACGACGACTTTCAGACTTTGTGGCTCCCAGTATAGCATGCACTGCAACACACCAGCTGGGTGAATAACACTAAATACTCACAAGTCAACAAATTATAGAACAGAACACTCTAGGAAAGAACTCTGGTCCTAAAAATTTTGACATCAGTCTACTAGGGCTGTTGTTTGGCCAATAAGGAAGCATGTTATGTTATGGCTCAGCTAAGGGAAATCAAAGCAGGGATTGTGCATTAAAGGTAGAATCCTCTGAACAGTTCTGATGTGGTGAGTTAAAGCCCAGAGAAGTTTCATATTCTATGCAAACAAGTCACCTTAAATTAAACATTGCTGTGCTAGTAAAAGATCACGATAGCACACAGTGTTTTTATCTTTTAGTTATAAAACAATTCTTCTACCCATTAAATAAACTCACAAACTATGTACGGAAGGAAGAACAACAATGACTGCAGATCCTTCTTGAGACCCAGCAAGCAGACCGAGAACACATTCCTCACAAACTCGTCGGTGACAGAGGGAATCAGACGCGAGACCCAGTTCCACGCCCATACTTTCAGTGATGAACACAAATCGGTGCTGAAAAAACAAAACATATAATTTGGGCACAGTTAAACTTTGCTTACTGATTATGCATACAGCTAAGTAAACTATCTTTAGTAGGTAATCGAATGAAAGTTACTTTTAAGGTAAAAACTAGTAGGTAATGTGAAACCCTTAGTGAACTTTTAAAGTCCTATATCCAGGAATTTACCATCCTTACTGAAACTGACCTGAATAAAACTGTATCTGTAGCGTTAATGCAAATGCTGAAAAATACCAAAGTGTAAGTTCTAAAAATCATTATGAAAATATAGTGCTAACTTTGATGTCACTAGGTACAGTGTGTCAAAGTATATACTTTTTTTTCTTAAGCAAGTTTAAAGTGGATATGTATGAACAAGGGTAAAATAAAGAAAGGTGAAGAGGTTAGATATTAATGCCACCAGCAGGCTAGATTAAACTTTGTTGAGTTTGTTTTTGTAAATAACTTCTTGATCAGCATTTGACGTGTTATTAAATTTACGGAAAGTAAATAAAAGAGACTTCTTATAACACTTAAAACATATATTTATATTATAGGCGTAAATATATGTTTTTAGTGTTATAAGACGTTTCTTTTATTTACTTTCTGTTTGTTTTTGTGTCATATATAATATAAACAGCTTATTGTTTATGTTAAACCTATATCTTGTGTTCATGGCCAAAAATCTTAGTGTCTGTGAATAAAAATTTCTTGTAAAAGTATTTAAAAGTCAAACTTTTGTTCTTGTTAGTACTGTATATTTATGTTCCACTGTTATTGTATTAAAAAATAACAAAAACTTTTAAGGAAAAGCTGTCCAAGCCTATGATCAAGGTCAATGATGAAACCGGTTCCTTTCGGACCAAAAACCTCAAAGCTAACCAAAAGCTAACTAAGCTAGAACACACAAAAAATCTTTTAGATATGACAGACATTTAAGTTACACGACTAACACTATATGTAGCATACACATATAGCATACACAATTTAAGTTTTAACATCTCAGTTCTAACCTACCTAACCTAATCCTAAACATGATGATTATAACATTCCAACCTGCAAAAACATTCTGCTAGTCATATAACGGAAAAGGTTTAGTGTGCAGAAATGTAGCTAGAGGATGGAACCAAACATTACTTGCAGAGTGCAATTTACAGATTACCTCCAAGAAAGCTGGCAATAGCTTTGTCATTGACTTAAGGGAGGATAGACTTGGAACTCTTACCCATATATAGGGTGGGGAATGTGAGTCTTTTGGTCTGTATGGTCTGAGGGCTTGTAGCGAGACTCCCTGAACGGAGAGATGATCTCCTTAGTGGCGTCCGACAACTTTTCCCACACTTGACTCTCCGGCACTTTGTACATCTTCAGCAGCTCCTACAACAGTTGGTAATAGATTAGATGCATACAACACCAACACACCACTGCGATTACCTTGAGGCAGATATGAGTAAAGGATGAATGTTGTATTGATGGTGAGATTATGAAAGTGCAAAAAAAAACTTATGAAACGTTAGAAAGCATATTGTGCATGTAAACTAACCTGAATTCCAAATGCAAAAACATCCACCGTGGTGGTATGACTGGCAGCTTGGAAAGCTCGGACGAATTCGTTGAGTGCTCGTAAAACAAACGCTTCACTGCTGATTACGAACATTTCTTTCTCCTCGGCTGAAATGTAGATTGGTCCAAATTAATATGTAGACGTAGACTGATCCATCATACAGTATTTCACTAATTTTTGTGTAACAGTCTCCAAAGGTCTACACAAGGACGAAATATCAATTTTATAACTATTAGACATTTGATTGTGTAATTACATTAGTCACTGTACGCAAAACTGTCTAAGGTAAGCTTGCTACTTAAAAAATTTTTGTTACGATTTTAAATTATATTATAGTGAGTGTAGTTTTATATTTTGAAAGTAGGAGGTAACAAAATGACACGAGTAAAAATCAAAATGTTCAATAATGGAGGCGAAAATTCATCTAGTAGTTCAAAAAAGGTTCAGTGGATCAGGTAAGCTTAGGGAGCACCTTAATCTTGAAATAAAATTAACTTTACCTATATTCGTAATAGGTGATTTTAAAGGTAATATCTGAGATTTGAAGTGAAATCTTTGAACTTCAACCTAAAGCGAAAGTAAGAATCTTTTTAACAAACCTTCAACTTTGAACTTGTTTGGAAGACGTCCAGGGTCGAGTGCGCCCAACTCTCCTAGACATTGAGCACTGGCAAGTCTCACATCAGGGTCTGTGTCCTGACATCCTGACAACAGCGCCTCTAGTAGCTGTCATCAACATTACATGTCAGACAATGTTCCATACTAAGTAGGTTTTCCCCATATTTTATACATATCAGTATTATAACGATAAACCTTATCTTAACAATATCAGCAGTCCAACATGAGATCCAACGGTTGGATATGTAAATAAAATTTGTTAAATAGTTTTTTTTTAGTTCTAAGTATTATTTAATTTTTACTTTAACCAAACAAATTCATTGTTGCATTTGGTGATTAACAGTGTAATAAGATTTTATTTTATTAAGCAACCCAAAAGTTCACTAATGAAATCTGAACTTTGATCCGAACTCAGCCCTCCCCCCACTAACTATGAGTGAGCTAGAGAGCTATGCCTTGAACATGAGAGCTGTATAACTTCCTTGTAGCATTTGTTAAACTTCATATTCAGTGTTAATACTGTGAACACTACTACATGTCTTAAAGACTTTGAGACTGACTGAGGGCCTACACTTTACAAGAACACCTCATCTCATCAGAGTCCTCGACACAAAGTTTCAACTGTGCACGTATTTAAACGGTCCACTGGTTGTCAAAATTTCTCATAGATACTTAACAATCAACAACTGTTATATAACTTTGGTTGCCTTTGCATGAGCAACAATATAGGTTATCTCAGCTTCAACAGTTTTGAACAAAGTGTAAAAGCAGCTAAAGTTGCCCAATGCTTAATGCATAATACAATCTATTTTGTTCATCCTCTTCTCAATTTTGTACAAAAAATTCACAAAATACAAATTAGAATAAAAAACATGTTAAACATTCTGAAGATGTGTTGTTATTTACCAACCTGGAGAATAAAAGGATCAATGTTATCACAAGCTGATATGAGAGGTACGAGGTTCTCTCGGTGAAATGCGAGGTCTTCCCGCAGCTTGTGAAGTCCTCGGAGCTGAACATCAGAGTTCTTGTGAGTTGCCAGTCTCAACGTTACAGCCAACTGGTCCTTCACTGGCAACTTTCTGTGGAACCAAGACAATAACTTAGCCACTGGATGAGTAGTAACTTCCTTGTAAAATGTTAGTCTAAAACAATTGACTAAATAATAACTCGCAGCTAAATAAAAAAAAATTAAACATCAATACCACTCATTATTAATTTAGTCTTTTCCTGAAGAGGAAATCTTAATGAGACACTTTTTGTGAAATTACCATCTTAACTCAACATTCTCCATGATTTAAATATCTTAATGAATCATACCAACTTTTAGCAGCTTCATTCGAGGTTTGAATTTTGAGTAGCCAAATTAATATATGAACGCGGAGGCTATCCTACGTAAAATTCTGATTTTCAAACCACTTTTGACAACAAAAGTGCAATTGGTTTTAAAAACTAACAAATTTCATTGGCGATTATTGTCGTAAATGCTCTTAAAGAGTTTATGCTTTCCAAATCGTGTTAGTGAAGTTGAAGTGGTTTTCCTATTTTATGGCTAAAACTGTAATAATATTTACCTGAGCTTCTCGAGCTCCGCTTGCACCAAAGTGTAATACTGATGAGTCGCCGGGGTGTCTGGTAGGAAGTAAAGCTCGGCGAGATGGTCTCTAACTGCCTCCAGGTTGTCCACCACGAGTATGCGGAATACGCTGCAGATCTCCACGGGGTGTTGGTCCAGGAGTGGCAACAGCGACACAAAGATAGAACTCAGCAACGGACCCAACGACGACACACTGAATAACACAATATTTTACAGCCGTACAATTTAGCAAATATTTTTCTTTACAGCGTCAAAATAAAAAAAGTACTTTGTTTCTCTTGGCCGAAAACACTTTGATATCAAGTTAAGGAAAACACTAAAGGAAAGTTACTTAATTGATATATTGAATTCACTCTGTCTATCAGTTCTTAATGAGAAGAACACACTTGAGTCAGTAAGCTGAAGATGTAATTCGGGTGAGTGTGGAATGGAGTGAGACAATCTGGATGGCTTTTAACTGACCAAGACTAGCACTCTAACTAAGAACAGATCGGTCTAGATGTATGCAAAAACATATAAAATAGTATATTCTACCTGTTTATACTCAAATTAGTTGATTCTAACCATTCATAGATTTGATCCAGTACTTGACTAGTGTAGCATTTTGCAATAAAACTAGTTTTGAAAACTATTAAAAATATCAAGACAAGTTACACCCTAAGATTTCAAGACAAAACTAGCGTTTAAAGAGGGAACATGTCATATAAATTTCATTATTTCCAAGACTCATAGGAACCCTATGTCTACCAATCACACTTATTCAGGATATTCCTCGAGGGAAAGTCATTCTAGTTAGCGTAAGAGACTGGTACAGAGGGCCAGGTTCAATCCCCGAGTATCCACGCAAAATTGTAATTCCTTAATTCAAAACAAACCACTGGCGAGGACACTAAAGAAAAACAAAAACACTTACTTTTGTACAAAGGCACGCCAGGCGAAGCAGATAGTTTGTGGATAGTAGCTGTGGTAGAGGTTGAGGGCATATCGCAGAGTAGCAAGCACTTTGAATCTGACAGGGGTTATATGTTGGACACCCATCAGCTTGATGAGCTCTGGCAGAGTGAGCAGAGCATGACGCTTGGTCTGCTCACTGCAGGACTGAGTCACCAGGATACTGTCCAAGTAGGCCAGCACTGCAAGGAACCTGGGCTGGAGGAACTGTGTCTGTACAACAATAACATTAGTAGTTACATACAGCTTGATGAGCTCTGGCAGAGTGAGCAGAGCATGACGCTTGGTCTGCTCACTGCAGGACTGAGTCACTAGGATACTGTCCAAGTAGGCCAGCACTGCCAGGAACCTGGGCTGAAGGAACTGTGTCTGCACAACAATAACATTAGTAGTTACATACAGCTTGATGAGCTCTGGCAGAGTGAGCAGAGCATGACGCTTGGTCTGCTCACTGCAGGACTGAGTCACCAGGATACTGTCCAAGTAGGCCAACACTGCAAGGAACCTGGGCTGGAGGAACTGTGTCTGTACAACAATAACATTAGTAGTTACATACAGCTTGATGAGCTCTGGCAGAGTGAGCAGAGCATGACGCTTGGTCTTCTCACTGCAGGACTGAGTCACCAGGATACTGTCCAAGTAGGCCAACACTGCAAGGAACCTGGGCTGGAGGAACTGTGTCTGTAAAACAATAACATTAGTAGTTACATACAGCTTGATGAGCTCTGGCAGAGTGAGCAGAGCATGACGCTTGGTCTGCTCACTGCAGGACTGAGTCACCAGGATACTGTCCAAGTAGGCCAACACTGCCAGGAACCTGGGCTGGAGGAACTGTGTCTGCACAACAATAACATTAGTAGTTACATACAGCTTGATGAGCTCTGGCAGAGTGAGCAGAGCATGACGCTTGGTCTGCTCACTGCAGGACTGAGTCACCAGGATACTGTCCAAGTAGGCCAACACTGCCAGGAACCTGGGCTGGAGGAACTGTGTCTGTACAACAATAACATTAGTTACATACAGCTTGATGAGCTCTGGCAGAGTGAGCAGAGCATGACGCTTGGTCTTCTCACTGCAGGACTGTAGTGACTCGGTGGCTCAGTCGGTAGCGTCGCGGACTTCGGACCTAAGGCAGCAATGTCGTGGGTTCGGATCCTGGCCACTACCGAAAACATTTTATCAGTACAGAATCACCTTTGTACTGGACAGTCTCACTCCTAGCTTTGCTGAATATGATCCACGCACGGGCGATTAGTCTATGTGGACGGGCAAATGCAAGGTTAAAAGTAGGGATGGTCAAGTCTCAAAATTTCGGGAAATTTTAAATCTTGTTACACGAGACGAGATTTCTTTTTGGCCGAGATTTTTATCGAGACGAGAATAAAAAAAAAAAAATTAAAAACGCCTGCAGAAAGTCAATGCAATACCCGCAATACAGGAGCGTGTTGTAGTTGCGTTTCCTTTGCGAAGGCGTTCTTATTGAATTAATTCTTCAAATGTAAATATTATTTTAATAATATTTGAGAAGTTTTGTTAAGTGTTAGCAGTGTGAGGAATGTTTTATTACTATAAAAAAAGTCTAAACAAGTAACTATTTTAACAAAATTAATATTTTATTTTATGATTTTTTTTATTTTAGGATAAGTTGAACTCTATCCTAACTGATATCATTATGTTTCCTAATCGTAGGCATTTTTAATAAGTTAGGCGTGATTAATAAAAAAATGTTATGCTGATGTTTTTTAATAAAAGATTGTAAATATTCTTGCATATTATCATTATTTTTGTATTTAAACAGTCATCTAACAATGTTACAAAATCAGGTAAAAATTTCGAACGTGCATTTCCCGTTGTGTATGAGAAGGGAAATCCCGTCTCGATCTTGTCTCGAAATTTTATGAGAAATAAAAAATCTTGTCTCGTCTCGTCTCGAACTAAAAATCCAATCTCGTCCATCCCTAGTTAATAGAGGCCGCCAACCTCTTAAAAAAATTAAAATAAATAAATAAAATTTGCTCTGGCAGTGAGCAGAGGAACTGTGTATTTATTTTGTTCGGTTGGATAAAGCTTGATCAAATGATGAATTGAAATACTACAACTAGAGTACAATACAGTAAGTCAGTTATACGCTAGAAACCAAAAGAATACAAACAACTTACAATATCAGTGTTGGGGGAGTCATTCTTGCTGTTGCTAGAGAATATCAAGTTTTCCGAGGCTGAAGACGAAGCACCAAAGTCACAATCTTTCAAGGAACGCAAAGCCTCTGTAACTTTGGTCTTCTCCATGTGGTAATACAGCAACAGTTCACATATGATAACCTAACGCACAAACATAGCTGAAAATATTATCTTTGAAAAATAATTTATATATTCAGTTTACTTATTTTAGCATGTTATTAAGATAAATAAACTAACAACAATAAATAAATATATAAATAAATAAATTAACAAGGGATGTCTAGTTGTATCAATTAAATCTGATCAATAAGATCTGCAAATTCAAACTGCAGTAAATTTGTTCATTTATGATCTGATTGTTTATATATTTAAAAACCCTGAATATCTTCAATTTAATAATCACAGTCACAACACTCGTTTTAAAAATACTGCGCTGTTAGAATCCCATCTTCTTAGTAAAACTAGTAATTGCCAAATAATTTTATCAATTAAAGTGTATAATTCAGTAAAGAATAATATAAATATTCATTCAATTAACAAATTTAAGGCTATGTTTTATAATTATCTACTTCAAAACCCTTTTTATAGTCTGGATGATTGTTTTAACTGGGAGAAATTGTTCTTTAGTTTGGTTTTCATTTAGGTTAAGAATGTGAATGGAGTTAAATGTTGTAATATTTGGCCTGTAAGAGTATTTTGTTGTTTATGTTAAGACTTGGTTTGAAAACTGCAAATAGACTTTGTCAATGATATGTAAATGTATCCTTATGGCAAATAGAGATTGATTGATTGAAATGTTTTAGTGAATTTCCCTGTGGCTATTAACAGTCTTCATGGCAAGATGTAGGTCTATGTCCACTGCTATAATGATGAGATTTCCTAGGAAAGTAGCTGTTGTGTCTTTGAGGTAGAACCTTGGTCCAGGACCACTGTAATTTATCTCATTTCCTTGTAGGAAACATTAAATTAGGTCCAGGTGAGTTTACAGATAGTAGTTTACACATTACACCTTATTTTGTTGAAGAATAACTTCTCTTAGGTTGAAGAAATACAATTCTAAATATGTGCCTCCGATAAACTGGTAATATTGTAATTTTTCCCTCTTTTGTAGGCTTACCTTGTAAGAATAACAAATCAAAGACTGAATTGACACTCCGGCGAATCCCTCTATCAGCTGATGAACAAAATTCTGGGTTTTATTGTCCTCAAAAAGTAAAACGTGTGAGTAAACATACTGAAACACAAAAAAAACTGTTCACAAAAGACATTTTCATAACTCAAAATAAAAGTCTACAGCACAGAGAGCTTGATATGTCAAAAATAAAAATCTGGCACACTACCGTTGTATGAGCTGTTCTACCTTCAGTGGGAAATGACAAGATTAGGATACAATTCCTCAGGAATCATGATAATACTTTCAAATACAGTAGATGTTCAAGCTGAAAACAGCTTTTAGAGCATTAGGACGACAATGTTTTGTTCTGGTTTAGTTTTTTCTACTTTTCTTGCTATTTCTCTTTTCCAATTGGTTACCCTACGAATTGAGTTGTTTTCACCTATTGTGCTTGTTAACCTCGTTTGTGGACCCATCTTGTTTGATCTAGGTTCCTTTCTAGGCGGAGACAGGTCAGATTCCAAACTCTGAAATATTGAACAGCTCATATTTTCACTATTCAATGAATGAAGAAGAGTATGGATCTCACTACCCTTTTAAACAACATAAATCTGCCCCACCAACAATAAACTTTGAGAAAATCCATAACCAAAAATAATTTGAGCCTACAAAAAATTTTAGTCTACAATAATTTCCTTGTCTTTAATCAAAATACTTGATTGTCCAATCATGATGAAGTCCCATGTACGCATATAAGTAACCTACAAATGTAACTAATGTAATGACCCGAGATTGAAACAGATTGTGGAGAAATAGCAAGGCAAATCATCTAGGGTTGACCGCAAAATCTGTCTTACCGCAAATGAGTCCTTCAGTACACTGGTGACATCAGTTCCAGTGGTGGCAGTGATGGGTGTCAACATGTTCTTGGCTCGGGGGTCCTGAGATATAAGAGGCAGCAAGTACTTGAGTAAGTACTTCACACCTGACAATGAAATAACATCGATTGTCAGACATATCTAACCATTTCAAACAAGCATAAGACTATTATTTATAAAAGTATTTACCATTGAAGTTGATTTTGTAACAGAAAAGTAGTTTGCTGTAGTCTTTGTGGCAAGATCTATAGTTCATCATACTCTTCATAGTACAAGCTGTCTGACATATTTTTTCCTATTCAGGACTCAACTGTTTCATTTGTTCAAACTTTTGTAAATATGATATAACGAGTTATAAGAGTCGTGTCGTGTCGGGAGCTTTACACAGTCAATCATCCTGTTTGGGAAAGAGGATTCGACATCGCCTTTCACATCACTTTCACTGGTCGCTACTTGAAATTGTGTAACATAGATCCACGATTTTTTACTAACAGCTTGAAAGATACCATTGCCATTACCATTCCCGACAACCAATTTATTGCCGGAACTGTTCTTTGGACCTTTCACGATTTTAGGGCGAGATTGTCTAGGACTACGATGATAAACAACACGAGTAAAACTTTCTTCGTCACATTCACTGCCACTCTGCCTGTGTTCTCCACTCCCGGTATCTAGACTTAGGCCTAGTCCAATGTTAGAATCTAGGTTAGGACTACTAGACTGTCTGTTGCTTGACTCACCTGAGTGGTCGTTTTTCTTCTTAGGATTATTGGGAGATTGTCTTACGTGAGAGGGCACAGATTTTAAGACCGAAGAAAAGGTTTTGGAGATAGGACTACTTCTTTCATGTAATGGTTCCTGGCGATCGTCACGGGCACTACACGACCGACCAATATGTTCTGTCACCAATTTATTGAGTTTATCGTGACTATCAAGAAGTCGGATCATAATTTCATTTAAACTTTCAACTGAGAGTATTGAAGCTGGAACATCACAACTTGCTTTCTGCGACAGTTGAAGTTGATCCTTGCATCCTTCATCCATTGCATCCCGGCAAGCAGTACAGATCCACAGCACTATTTTACCAAGCGATACAATTTGGTCAAATTTAACTTTATCAATTTTGAGACAGTTAATATGAAACCATAGACAACATTTCCCTTCACATTGAACAGCAGATTGATTAGATTTAACCTTCTTTTTACACAGACCACAAGAGTCATCACCTTCACCTGGCGCCATCTTGGATTTTTTTCCCCCAAATAACGGAATGTTGGGCATAAAAAAGGGAAACATCAGTGTATTTGTACAGCTATCAAATAGCCGTAGACCAAGAAGAAAGCACCTTAGAACCACAGGGGTTAGCCACACAGACAAATGAAAAGTCAAACTGCGGTTGACCTCAAGTCTGGAGACGTTTGAAATTCCTTAGAAAAGTACACCACGGCGCTAAAGGATACTCCAAGAAACAAAGGCTCATGGACGGAATCGAGGGGTGCTACAAAGAACTATAAGGTCGAAGCAGCTTTACCCCACAGAAAAGACACGGGTTGTATCAAAAGAAAGGTTATCGGTCCTATAGTGCAGGTTTTATTTGTATTTTGAGAATAATTATCTTAGTTGGGTCAAAAATTGAAATTCAATTGTTCCAATGGAGATTTAACATGGGGCTAATTCTATATTCTTAGACAAGCATGTTTATTGAAAACCGTTTTTCTCAGGTCCTGTGCATCGCAGGGAAAATCTATGCGTACTGTTAGGGAGATATTTGTCTTTAGATGTGCAGAATCCTTTTATAAATTAAAATAGGCTCAAAAATAAGCACAAAAAACTAATTTAAAATTTCAAAAAGATGAACATGAACCTTATGGGTTGATATGTTGGCGAAGAAATTACAACAAAATATAAACAGAAAGTAAAACAAATGGAAGAAATTCCAATCACATGTTTTATTTACAGCGTGGAGTGAAAATGAATTTTGCACATTACATACTTTTGGTCGAGTTTTCAACCACGGGGCGAGCTCTAGTTAATAGCTAAAATACTAATCATTAAATTGTTATTGAATTGTTTTTTTCTACCAATTTTGTTAATACCAAAGTACGAATTCTTTTACCTGATAGGTCCCACAGCTGCTTTGAGTTGGTGAAGCTAAACCCCCTGGCCAGTTTAACCAACATTGAAGTGCAATGATCATTGTTTTCCAGAGAGTTTATGATTAACATAATTGTGAAATACTGTAAAAACACAAACACAAAACATTAATTGTGGTACAATCCCATAAATGTTGCATAGTGATTAAAAGGGTGTTGTGGAAGGGGGGTGAGTTAAAAATAATTGGGAAGTATGATTGTGAGGTCACATTTCAACCACAACAGCTATTCACAACTATATTTTTTTTATGTGAGACAATAATACTTTAATCAACAAGTGCAAATCAATAGCCTATATTGTGTCGGTATGGTAAAAAGAAAGCCTCTATCCAATAATTATTGGCTGTTTTATTGACATACCTTAAAAATTTCATCTTGGAACCTAAAGAACAGATCTTGGACACTTGTATCCCTCGCAGCTGCAATTTTACTCAAGTGTTCAAGACCGGGCAGTTCGTGTTTTGACTGTGGATGACTGACAAAGGCCACGAACATCTCTAATGTCGGCAGTAAAACATTTTCAAACAGGGTACTGAAAAGAAATAGGCAGAGGATTAAAACCAAAACAAATGAAACACTGATTATCTCACAAGTACTTTATAAATCGCAGTAGTATTGTAATACTTGCAGATTTTTTTAACTATTGAAAAAGATCTAAGGTTGGAAACAAATAACTGTCAGCCTTATGAGGGGATACAAAAATATTAAAAAAAGCTTTTGATATGTTAAAACGACTTTTAGACCTATAACAAAAATGAAAATCTTCTTTATTGCTACTTGAAGGGTTTTTGGTTGTTTAAATTGCGTTTGGTCGACCTAATGACAACTGGAAATGAATCTTCAAGGATTATACGCTATAGCTAAGATTTGATATTAATTAAAAACTACAACATTTTGATACTAATAATAGTAATGTTTGCCTACGAATAAATGTCTATGTTTACCATCCAACATTGGACGCTGTAGTCATCAAGGATAGCTGCAGATGGCAATCCGCTGAAGAGAAACTCTTATGGATCAGTGCCAGCATCACCTGTACATCAACAACACATACGGTCACCACTCTACAATCAGTACCAGCATCACCTGTACATCAACAACACATACAGTCACCACTCTACAATCAGTACCAGCATCACCTGTACATCAACAACACATACAGTCACCACTCTACAATCAGTACCAGCATCACCTGTACATCAACAACACATACAGTCACCACTCTACAATCAGTACCAGCATCACCTGTACATCAACAACACATACAGTCACCACTCTACAATCAGTACCAGCATCACCTGTACATCAACAACACATACAGTCACCACTCTACAATCAGTACCAGCATCACCTGTACATCAACAACACATACGGTCACCACTCTACAATCAGTACCAGCATCACCTGTACATCAACAACACATACAGTCGCCACTCTACAATCAGTACCAGCATCACCTGTACATCAACAACACATACAGTCGCCACTCTACAATCAGTACCAGCATCACCTGTACATCAACAACAACACGTACAGTCGCCACTCTACAATCAGTACCAGCAACACCTGTACATCAACAACACATACGGTCACCACTCTACAATCAGTACCAGCATCACCTGTACATCAACAACACATACAGTCACCACTCTACAATCAGTACCAGCAACACCTGTACATCAACAACACATACAGTCGCCACTCTACAATCAGTACCAGCAACACCTGTACATCAACAACACATACGGTCACCACTCTACAATCAGTACCAGCATCACCTGTACATCAACAACACATACAGTCGCCACTCTACAATCAGTACCAGCAACACCTGTACATCAACAACACATACAGTCACCACTCTACAATCAGTACCAGCAACACCTGTACATCAACAACACATACGGTCACCACTCTACAATCAGTACCAGCAACACCTGTACATCAACAACAATAGACAATAGACAATAGACAAATAATCTTTATTTACGCATTCATTAAGAATAGTAGTAGCGTCAATTTACAATTTTTTCTAAATGTTTGGTTGAGGTGTTTTTTAGTCAAAGACCTGTTGACGGTATTCTTCTAAGGAATAGAAAGGTCGATTAATGAGCCATTGATGCAAAGCTGGTTTGAGGTCATCTTCTGACTTGCTTCTTAGATCTGGAGGTAGCCTGTTGTAGATTTTCATTCCTGCGTATGAAGGTTTCTTTTCAAACTGTGTCGTGCGATGTTGTGGAAGGTTGTACTGCATGGTGTTTCTCAGGTTGTGTTGGTGCATTTCGCCACGCCTTGTAGGGTTATTTCTTACTGCAAATAACACAACTTCCTGGATGTAGAGTGCTACAAGGGTAAGTACTTTGAGTGACCTGAATGCTTCCCTGCAGCTGTCGAGTCTGTGGAGTCCTGCAGTTATTCTGACTGCCTTTTTTTGTTTTCTGAGAACTCTTTGCATGTTAGTGGCAGAGGTTCCACCCCATGCTACAAGTCCATATCTCATATGCGACTCGAAAAGTGCAAAGTATGCTACTTTTGTTGTCATGTCATCTGTTGCATTTTTTATATGTTTAAGAGCATAGATGGTTGAACTTAATTTTTTACATATATTGTCCACATGAGGGGTCCAGGTTAAATTCTTGTCGAGTGTGATGCCCAAAAACTTAGCTTCATCTTCCACTTCTACATCTGGGAGTCGTGGCACTTCTTGAGATTTACGGCCAAAAGCTATTTGAGTTGTTTTAGACGTGTTTACTGCGAGATCATTGTTATAGCAGTATTGGTAGGCCATACTGAGTGACACATAGGATTTTACAATTTTACAATTTTTTTAGGATTTTACAATGTGCTGTACAACACATACAGTCGCCACTCTAAAATCAGTACCAGCATCACCTGTACATCAACAACACATACGGTCACCACTCTACAATCAGTACCAGCAACACCTGTACATCAACAACACATACAGTCGCCACTCTAAAATCAGTACCAGCATCACCTGTACATCAACAACACATACGGTCACCACTCTACAATCAGTACCAGCAACACCTGTACATCAACAACACATACAGTCGCCACTCTAAAATCAGTACCAGCATCACCTGTACATCAACAACACATACGGTCACCACTGTACAGTCCTGTTGGCTACAGTCGCAGGCTTGAGTGGCTACAGTCGCCACTCTACAATCACTACCAGCACCACCTGTACATCAACAACACATACAGTCGCCACTCTACAATCAGTACCAGCAACACCTGTACATCTACAACACATACAGTCGCCACTCTACAATCAGTACCAGCATCACCTGTACATCAACAACACATACGGTCACCACTCTACAATCAGTACCAGCAACAACTGTACATCAACAACACATACAGTCACCACTCTACAATCAGTACCAGCAACACCTGTACATCAACAACACATACAGTCGCCACTCTACAATCACTACCAGCAACACCTGTACATCAACAACACATACAGTCGCCACTCTACAATCACTACCAGCAACACCTGTACATCAACAACACATACGGTCACCACTCTACAATCAGTACCAGCATCACCTGTACATCAACAACACATACGGTCACCACTCTACAATCAGTACCAGCAACAACTGTACATCAACAACACATACAGTCACCACTCTACAATCAGTACCAGCAACACCTGTACATCAACAACACATACAGTCGCCACTCTACAATCACTACCAGCAACACCTGTACATCAACAACACATACAGTCGCCACTCTACAATCACTACCAGCAACACCTGTACATCAACAACACATACGGTCACCACTCTACAATCAGTACCAGCATCACCTTTACATCAACAACACATACAGTCGCCACTCTACAATCAGTACCAGCAACACCTGTACATCAACAACACATACAGTCGCCACTCTAAAATCAGTACCAGCATCACCTGTACATCAACAACACATACGGTCACCACTCTACAATCAGTACCAGCATCACCTGTACATCAACAACACATACAGTCGCCACTCTACAATCACTACCAGCAACACCTGTACATCAACAACACATACAGTCGCCACTCTACAATCACTACCAGCACCACCTGTACATCAACAACACATACAGTCGCCACTCTACAATCAGTACCAGCAACACCTGTACATCTACAACACATACAGTCGCCACTCTACAATCAGTACCAGCATCACCTGTACATCAACAACACATACGGTCACCACTCTACAATCAGTACCAGCAACAACTGTACATCAACAACACATACAGTCACCACTCTACAATCAGTACCAGCAACACCTGTACATCAACAACACATACAGTCGCCACTCTACAATCACTACCAGCAACACCTGTACATCAACAACACATACAGTCGCCACTCTACAATCACTACCAGCAACACCTGTACATCAACAACACATACGGTCACCACTCTACAATCAGTACCAGCATCACCTTTACATCAACAACACATACAGTCGCCACTCTACAATCAGTACCAGCAACACCTGTACATCAACAACACATACAGTCACCACTCTACAAACACAGTTTAATAAACCTTATGAGTTCTTAAATAAAGAAAAGTTCTAGTTGCCTGACATATCTATCTGTATTCAAGATATCATGATTGTTCAGAAAGTAAGGAATGTTTGACGCCCATGAAGAGCACTGATAGCACACTTTGTGGTACAGACGTGTTCGCCTCCTCAACGACTGTCTAGCTATCGCAGCTGAAGTGTCATTGTGCTAGTAGCAATATTATTGTTTAAAAAGTTTGCTGCAATTGAAAATCCAGCCAGTTGCAATATGGTTTTTGTTGGCCAGACTCAAAACCTATATAAATTTATCATCAAGGGTGTGAAGTGTACGGAAACAGTGAGTTTTATCCTATTTAAAAATAAAAATTAATTGCTTTGATTGTTTCTGTTATTAAAGCAGTTGATTGTTTCTGGTTATCCTTTGCAATCACAGTCGACCGTGTTAATTAAAATTTTACTATCATTTAAATATCGTCCTTTGCAGGATATAAAATCGTTATGCCTCAATTCCCTAAATTTCATACAACAAATTGACAGAAAAATAAATCCTCCAAACTTCCAAAATACAAATAACCCTAAGAATCCACAAGCCGTGTTACCTGTCTGTAACGTGCAATGAAACTCGCAGTTGAGTCTGCAGACACGAGATGTGCTGCATTTTCAGCCATTGCCATTCTGACATCATGGTTGTCGTCTTTAATGTATCTCAACCACTTGTCTACGGCCTGCCTCAATATCGGCTCCTGCAACACAGACAGATGGAAGGAGAATGCTTGCTTTACTAAATGATTGGGAGTCACTGATAGAAAAAAGATAGCTGCAAATTATTTGTCACTCAGAGACATTCACTGCAAAGCAGTTAAAATGTGTAGAGGGTTCAACGGTAAGTACGCGTATAATTTTATTATCTTCGTTACAGTATCCTCACAATGTTATCATCAGACAATTAGATCTCAGCGTAACCCATTTCCACCGTCTTATTTATTTACCAAAAATTCCAGCATCACTGAAACAATAAAAATAAAAAATATATATTTGACAATTTTTTATGATTTATAGTATTTTATAGCTGAAAATAATAATACAATTTATATTTTTATATTATTTTGAATTTTGTATGTATATACTATATATGTATATAGGATTAGGATATGTTTACACTATTTTATATATTTCTAAAAAAATAGGTGCTTATACCTGCCTGAAAAAATATTAGACTATATTTTATATAGTTCGTAGTATTTTAAAGCTGAAAATAATATAAAACATATTATGTGTATAAAATTATGTATTTTATAAGTATATGTATATGAATTTGGGACACTATTTACACTATTTTTCATACTTTTCATAAACATTTTTAAATAGCTGCCTGTATTACGTAAATTTGAAATCATTCAAGAAACATAACATTTTGATGAACAATTAAAAAAAATTATATGTATGTAAGTATTGTGTAATTGGTATTGTAAGTGTAATTGGTTCATTTTACAAAATATCAAATTTTCAAATTTAATGGCGGACGTACCAGTACAACAGCCGTGATACTGTACATCACTGACTTGACGTACTGGTACGTCATCCGATACAAATGGGTTAAGCAGCATTGTCAATTTAAAAACACATAACAAACAGGAATATTTACATTACGAAAAAAAACATCAAATAAATATATAGGATGGAGAGGACACAGCTAACTCACCCAACGATATAAACAACTCATGGATCGCTGGCTCAGTGTTGGCCGCGCGGTCGAGCTTCCCCCACCATCGACTGGCAGAAGCCGACGCAGCCCATACATTCACCATTATAAAACACACTTTTTAAAAATGCTGCTCTGTTGAAGTTTATAGGGATAAAATATTGCTAACGCTTATCAAACTCTTTTTACTAGTAAACCTTTTATGTCTGTTTTGTTTCTTGCAGAAAAAAGCCCATCTGAATTCTTTAAAACTACAAATTCACTAAACCCGTTTTGTAGATGTTTTTAGACAACTGATAATGCTAGTTCCAAATTGTACATGGTAAAATAATAAGTGATTACAAAAGAGAAATAGAAAGTAAAATATTTGTAATTGAAATTCTATTTTATTAATCGAAAAAATAGTACATAAACATTTAGAATAGTTTTTAGAAGTTTTTGCCGCAGTGGTAACGTTATGTTTGACGTAAACGCGATATTTTTTTCTTTCAATGTTAAATGGCAATGTATCTTACGAAATAGGTCATAAAAAAGTTATGCTTATCACGTTAATGTCAAGCATAGATTTGCGGTAAAAACTGGACAAATGTAGTAGGGTTTTTAAGAGTTTAAATGTGTTATTTTCTGCAAGAAAAGAAGAAGAAATAAAGTTTAGAATAGTAAAAAGTGTTTTGCATGCATTAGCAATATTTTATATCTATATATTTAAACAGAGCAGCAACTTAAAAAGGTGTGTTTTACAATGGTGAGTGTATGGGCTGCATCGGCTACTGCCAGTAGATGGTGGGGGGAGCTAGACCGAAAACAGCGCCCGCAGTACTACTGAGAGCGCAATCCAGTAGTTTTTACATCGTTGAACTCACCTGATGAAAGGTTGCAGACGAGTCAAAGAACACACAATACTTAATATTTCGCCTCTTTCAGAGGCTTCTTCAGAAGTAGGCCTAGATGGTAGTTACAAGAAGAACAGTTTAAATAGGATGACACAGTTTGAATTCAAAATGTCTGACAGGTTGTCCAATTGACCCCTACACAAAGCACTAAATACAGGCACATTGCAATATTGTATTTACATATAATATGTATTGAAAAGCAAATTTAAAAAAAACATCAGTCAACTTTGAGTCGGCGTCTTGCTCAGATTGTGTCAATGTCAAACAGTTGTGTGTGACACGTTGTTCAAATTTTGTAATTTTTACTTTTAATGTCAATATGCGTGTTTAATGTATTAACTTCGGCGATTAATACAACTTCAGCCAAGATTACATGTCTGATGATGGCCTCGTGGTACCGAAATGGCCGTAACAACAGTTACAACTTTTGAGCTGATTGACAAAGGTAATGCCTTCCATTTAGTTACAGCTTAGGGGCTAAATGCAGAGTTTTATACTCCTTTTGTTACTTACAGGTATATGTTTGCTCCACCTCTTCAGAGAAGACGCCACATGTTTTCTCACCGAGGGGCACTTGACAAAACGAAGCTTCAAATAACTTTCAAGCATAGCTGTGGCAAGGGAATCTTCAATAAATTTGGTATCTTTAGTGTTACCATCACAAACCCTGCAGTGAACTGTTAGTTCCTCATCTGTTGTGTCATGTCTGAAACATTTTCAAAGTTATGACTACATTTTTATTCTAACACTTTTAAGCAATATGCTACGGTGGTTGATTGGTTTTAATAAGAATAAGAATAGGTGAGACTGGATTTTAAGCTTAAGACAGGATTTTTACAGAACTGCTATGTCCTTCTCTAGTCCTCTTTATATGCTGTAATAGATTTATGAAGGGTATGAAGTAAAGTCAACTGGAACTTAGCATCATTTTCCGGAAATCATAACACAGAAATACAATGTATATTTATCATGGTGACATGAAGACTATTTTGCGACCTGCTTTGACATAAAAATTATCTAAAAATTATTCGCAAAATCCACAACAGGGGCAACATCTAAATTCTCTTCCACAACATTGTGTTTATCTTCTATAACCCCAGGCAAAGCAAAATCCCTCTGTAGCAACTCGCTACAAGACAATAGCGCAAGTCACGTGACTTAGGTGTGCGCGCAGTCTCCCCGCAACAAGCACGCGCGATGAGAGGAGAGTACAGTAGTGACGCGCGTGGTGCCAGCAGCAGTTCGATTAGCAGGGTGTCTACTACATTCTGGATAAAAAATTCATGGACAATTCCCGTACATTTAAGGACACTTTGCCGTAACCTTTGTCGGTGTCATTAGGCCTACCGAATAATTTTCCTGATTTGTCAAACTGTATTAATCTTGTTATTCACTGTAGTTGTACCAGAGAGAAAACTAAATAATAATAGATAAGAGTTAAAAATTACAAAATATAAATTTATTGAAAGTAAACAAACATAGGCCTACCTATACTTTAGGTAAAGCTTTTATAGTGTAACAGAGAAACGCAATCATTGTCTCCTGCGATAGCGACAAATATCTCCATCAGTCACGTAAACTTCATAACATAGCTTATCCGATCCAGGCCGATTAATTTGGCATGATTCGCCCTGGCACAACGTTAGGTTCTCGACTACTTTTGAAAAAAAATCTCTAATGCGTATTGTTACTCAATTCTTAGTACAAAATCAAGGTATGGTAAGCGGCTATTAATAAGCAATAAGCACAGAGTAAGATTATTGTATTTTCATTTGCAAAGTTAATATCGACACATAGCAATCATTTGTTGTTTATCTTAGGCTCAATTACATTTTCTTAATATATTTTACAGCTCTTTCAAGAATCAAAATACCCAGGCCTAGACCTAATTATTTAGTAGGGCCTATATAAACTGAGTAACAAACAATGAGGTTATAATAGCAGCAAAGTCACTATCATCATTGTAGTTCATAAGATTTTGATTGCTTAAAGCATACAACTCAATAAATAAATATATGGGAAACAAAAAACATTGAAACCTGAATAGCCAACAATATAAGACAAAGATACAGAAAATGCAATGACTTAATTTGAAACCAAGCAGGCCTACATAGTGATAAAACATTAATGCAAACAACAATGCTTACGTGGTTTTGTCAATTGAAAGATAAAATGTCCATAAAAAAGGGGTTAACTTACAAAATAAGACTGTAGATTATTTACATGTTTAATATGAAACCATAAACAGTTTTATGGCACTAGGCACTGGCCGCGGCAAATTGAATCTTCAAGCCGAAAGTACAAGTAAGAAGTGAAATTTAACAGCCATTATAAAGCTATTATTTTCACGATAAAATAGGTTTGAGATCTAATAATAATTACCCTAGTAATAAAAAAAGAAGTTGTAAAGGAATAAAAGTGATACAACTTTTATGAGCTAGCTGCTGAGTCAACAGTTCTTGGAAGTACGTCTGACTTGACACTATGATTGTCGTGATAAAATATTAATGGGTTTGATATTGTTAACGGGATTTTTATTGCATAATTACTCTAGTAATAAATTATGAAAATGTAAACAATCATCTGATAAACCTTTTATGTGCTCCTAACCAACTAGCGATCAATAAAATTATGGCCCATTAATAATTTAAGGACATAGTCTGGCATTTAAGGACAATTCCCGTACATTTCATGGCCAGTAAAAACTTAAGTACAATTCCCGGTTTCCCCGGATTTCCCGGTTGGTAGACACCCTGGATTAGCCCGGATAGGTACTAGCATTAAGACTATGTCTAGATAAGTTCGAAGGGGTTGGGGAAGGGCGTAGGCAAGGGCAAACTTATTTTTTAATTATGTAATTTATTAGGTTCACAAATGGTCGTGGTCTGGAAATCAATATCCCAAATTTAGAATTCACATTTGCTAAATCTAGTTACCTTTCACGAATCAGAATAAGTCCAGATATATATTTATTTCTCTGTTCAATATATTATAATTAGATATATTAAATAACATAAAAGCTGGCTGTGATATGCAGCTAAGGTAATATTGTGCACTTTGACGAGGTAGTTAGCTTCCTTGTACAGTGGTAGCAAAACAGGAGTGCCGATGGAGACCAGGTCAAGTCCCTTTAAACGCACGCACCTCCACAGGTCTCCATCGGCACTCCCGTTTTGCTAACACTGTAGTAGAGTTGAACGACGACAGGAAATGTGCGTGATTGGGTAGTGGTGAGAGGAAGGTATATAGGGCCCAGGTATCTTCATTTATATTTTCATTGATATCTGTAGGACAAATTCCAGAACTTTTCCATAATTCCCTGACTTTTCCAGGTTTTCCTTGACCGTACCAACCCTGTGAAATTCCCCCCTCTATAAAACATTCATAACATTCTGAAATATTATGTAACAAATAGTATGTATATGGAGAAAGTATTGTTTTTGAAAAAAATTAGTATAATATTGTCATTTAAACTCAAACATAATGGTACAATCCCCAACGCTGCAAAAAATATGGTTCAAAAGTTATTGCAGCTTTAGTGATTTACCTCATAAAATATCATAGTTAGTCCCACTGCTTGCCAAAAGTATGGGTTAATGGAGAAAGTAGGTGTCAAATTGCTGATAGGTTTATTAAAAATTGTGTTTATCTGGTTAGAAATTATGTGTCATAAATGACTCACAAACTCCAAAAAATCAATTTATTACCTGATTAACTCAGCAGTGCCAGCCAAACAGCAGACGATTGTTGGGAATTTGCTGGCAAAGTCTGGGGTGCTATAGTTGTCATCTTGAAAGAAGAAGGGGTCCACGAGGCTGGTAACACATAAGCTTTGTTCGTTGACTGGTAATGTCGTCAGCATTGCACACACCTTGTCTATCTCAACATCAGCTCGTTTGAATACAGCCAGCCTCCAATCTAGGCTGAGACTGCCACACAACACCATCACCATCAGACCTTCCAGCGAGTGGCTCTTCACACCAGGATCTGTGAACAAATTAAACATTGGTGGTTCCGACAAAACTAATGATGAAGCTTTGCCAAGATTCGAGAATGCTTGCAAACGGTTCCAAGTGTGCTTACACTGCACTCTACACTAGATTACGTTTCTAAACTGTCCTGGATTGATTGGTGTAACTACATCATATACTTCCACAGATCTCAGTAATCCTATCCATGTCTACCCGTCCGTCTATACATTTCCTGTCTCATGGTAGTGTAACTTTCAGCTGCCGATGCATCAATCGTAGAGAGAGACAGAAGACAATCTACAAGCTATGAACTTTTTGACATCCGCACATCAAGACCACGTGGACTGTCTTAACCAATCAGAGAAGAATAACCAACGATCATACCCTCTGATTGGCTGTCTCTCTAGGTGGACAGGGGGATGTCTATTCCAACAAAAACCAAGAGAGGACAGTCTCCAGGAAGTCTTCGGTCCGGTCACCGCGTTCGGGAGTCGAAGTTTTCGGCCGCGAGTGATTTGCGAAGTGAAGTGTTATTTTACCATGGCCTGTTGCCTTTAAAGGCAGATTAAAATTTGTTTGGTGAAGTGTCCAGTGCATCAAACTCATGAAGTATGTCAATTTTATAATTATTTATACTAAAATGTAAGCCCAGCTCGCTTACTCAGAAATAAATAATTTAAGGCTTTAGAACTTAGATTTCCAAATTTTAATTCAAATCTGTTCAATTTACTTTCTTGAATTTGAACGATAATATTACTTTATTATTTTGTTTTACATTTTTAATTTTATTAAACTCCAATTTCCAATTTATTTGTTAGGATAAAGTATAATTTAGCTTATTAATTTGACTATTCACTGTGCTGGTTCATTTCCCCTTGTTTAACTGTATTAGACTTATATATTATCATTGTATTTTGTTTGGTTGAGTTTATCTTCTCCTCTTTTAATTAAATTGTAAATTCTTTGAGTAACTCTAGTTTTATTCTCAGACCCGGCCCTCACGCAATAGCCAAGCGAGTACATTAACTTATCACCTATTTACTATTAATACAAAATAACAACGAGTTACATTGGCAATGCAGACATAAAAATTGCATTACACTACTTACAAACATGTTTCATCTAAAGGATATTTTTCTATAACTAAGAAAATTTAAGCTCTATATAATGTAGGCCTAATATTCAATGCCAATTAAATTTCTCTGTGAAAAGTTATACTTTTTACCGTCAATCCTTGTAGGAAAAATATTCTTCAACAGATTTTTTTAATGAAATTTGCTGGTATAGGTTTTTTAAATATATCCCTAGAGGAATTAGAAATTAAAAAATAAAAATAAAGTTCAAAACAAAACAAAATCATTTCTCAAATAACATGGCCAATTATTCTCTTAACAAATTTTTCCACCTCTCTCAAGAATACTAGACATTAAGAAAACATAGGCCTATCTATATAGAGAGTTGTATTTTTTAAATTTATATTTTAATTTATAATAATTGTACTCTTTGACGCTATTCCAATGCTGTATTATGTATACTTCTCAATGAATAAAGAAATTTATACTGAAATTGCATGTTTGTTTCTCAAAGTACAGAACAAAATAAATTTACCAACCATCAAGAAAAATTTGTAGATTCGCCATGACTCGATACGGTGACAGGTCGACTAGAGGCAGTTGAGCTCCGATATTTTTGTGGAGCCATGGAATTGACAGAAATGCCAAAAGACTGTTCGCTTCTCGCAAATCGATCATGGACATGTCGCCAAGTGATGCAAGATACTTTGATGTTTTAGCAACTTCCAGATATATAACATTAAGATCTATTTCCCGTATAAGTTTGTTCCATTTTACATAGAAGTTGTTTCCAAAAAACACCAATGACGAGGAGGACTGACTCAGCTGAAGAGAGATGTTAGAAGCACTGAGAGCAACAGCTGATAGTAGTTTTGTAAGTTTTACAACATTTGCAGCAGACTGTCCTCCGTTAATAATGTTTTCTACAGCTTTTGCAGCAATATCCAACACAGATTTCCACAAACTACTGATTTCCCAGCACTCCCTGCAACAACAACAAAAAACAAACAACTATACCAATGTAAAATAAAATTATTTTGGAATCCACAATCTACTTTCAAGTCAGTATCTTTTGACGAATATGAAAAAGTCTTAGGATTGTCTAAGATTGGTTCAGGTCTTGAAAAATAAACAACATTTTATTGTAATGCTGTAGGGGCCAAGGGCCTATATTTGATGGACTATTTCTGGGATGTTGATGGAAAGGCTTACCTGAATGGGAAAGAGTCCCCAGGATGGTTCAAGGAACACAGATTTAAAACTGTACAGTGGGCATGTGCCAATTGTTGCCCAAAAGTTACTTTCCGAACACTTTTCTTCATCTACAAACATATGTCTTCCCAACTCAGACATTCCTTAGTTTAATATGCGTTAGGTAATGGTTAAAATATTCCAGTTTGGTGAAATTTAACATTTAAGTGTACTTTTTGTGGTAAGACTATTTCTCAAATGTATGCATAGTTGTGCATTTACAGTGCACAGCTTTCAAAATGAATTTCAACCCCAATGAACTACAACTATCTTAAGAAATTGTTTGTAATTTAAAAGCACATTGGTGAACCAATGTTTTAAGTAGGCCTATTTAAACTATTGCAACAAAATAAGTGTCGGTTTAAATTAATAAGTCCATCATAGGCTGAATATTTTTTTTCAAAACTTTAGAAATAGGTACTTGCTGTAAAGATTGTGCCAATTAGGATGGCTTTTAGGGAGTGTAGTACGGGAGAGACAGTACCTAAACTTTCCCCACCACTTTACTCCATTTTGAATATGAATATTAAATAAGATCTAATGACAATTTTTTAAATGGCTGAGAAAAAAAACGATGGTGGTGGGGAAGGGTCCAAATATGCATGTGCATCTCGCTTTAATGATTCAATCTCTACCTTATTGTTAAGTATTGACCGAAGTGCAAAAATACTGTAAAATATATTATAAAATAAATCTTAAAAACTTACCGACTCTTTTCTGGATTATTTAAGTGAGGTTGTACATCATTCCACACAAGGGCCTGGACAATAGTTAGAATATCCTGCAATCAAATTTTGGAATAGAATATTAACAGAATAAAAATTATCAACTGAAACAAATAGTTGCACAACAGCATGTTTTTTGGCTGTGTGATTTTCAAACATCAAATGAAACACCGAAAGATATGAAAAAAACTACCTATTGATCTCCTTCGAGTTAACTTCTAATTATATGCTTGAATTCAGTCAAAACTACATAACACAATGCAAATAAAAACAAGGTATAAATTTTAATAAGTGTTTCTAAAATAAAATTCTCTTGAATCGAGACAGGTTTGAGTTGAAATTCCTAAACTACTGGTTAGTCACAAACATCTTACAGGGAAATCATACTTACAGGGAAATTGGAGGCATGATCCAAAACTGCTTGTACTTTCTTTTTTATATCAACAGACATTGGACATATCTTGAACAGCAACACTATCAGCTTACAGTAACTTCTTGACGAAACTCCTGTTAATCATAAATTATCATCAGTTAACATTTATCTGTGTTTAATACACTGTCCTAAAATATAATACAACAACCTTCATGGAAGATAAAAAAAAATCAACATTTGAAAACCACTGATGTTAAAGTTTGCATTTACTTCTCACCTGCAAACAAAACCACCTTCTTATGGTCTAGCAGGGCAACAAGCCCGAGGTAGAGGCGGGACAAAGCTCTCTTATCAGCCGCACTGACGTGGGAGAGAGCAGCTTCACAAAAGGTGTCAGTCGATACAAGCATCGCCTTCCCAGCTTCCCCACTCCAGCCAGCTGTACCACTCAACCTGACATTCAGTAGCTCACATAGGTTGTATACCATCTGGAAATGTTTGTACTTTTAGTAGGCATACTTTCTACAAATATCATCTCTGTTGAAAATAGTTTTTTGAGGAAAAACCACAACTTAAGAATATATTAAGGAAGAAAGAACGAATACAACCGACCCTCAAATACTACATAAATTCTATACTAATCTTGCCTAGAAAATTATTTACCAAAATTTTAGTACTTACTAAGGAGGTTCGGGGGAATCCGTCGCACTTTATGTTGACACTGATGGAATCCAGTGCTGCCAACCAAACTTGTCTGTCCGAGTCTCCCAGTAGTGCCAACAATGCAGACCAATAATCAAACATGCCCGTGGGGTGACAAGACGCCAACATACCCGTGTGGCTTCTTACCACCTGATGACAATCAATCAAATCAATTTATTCACAAATAAAACCATTGCATAGATTGTATAACAAACAATCTGAATATAAACTAAATAGTGAGAGTGAGAGAGAGAACTTGAAAATACAGTAGAGTCCCGCAAACTCGAGCTTTATGTTTGCAATGGGGGAGGACGTAGTTTGAAAAAATTTGCTTTTAGCGAATTTCCCATATAGGGAATAAGCTATTACCGTAGTACTCATGGTAAGACCTGGACGCGGGACCGATTTTTTTTTCGTTTCAAGGTCCCTAGAGGCCAAAAACACCATACGTTCAAATTCATATATATATATATATTTATATATTTATATATTTATATATATATATATGTGTCCATTAGCACGATAACTCGAGCAAAAATGATCCGATTTTGATGAAATTTGGTACAAACGTGTAAACCTATGTTTATTTGAACGAGTTCGCGATCCAGCATGATCGGACCATGGGAACGGGGGTTTACGGGGGGTTTTATGGGGTAAAAATAAGTTTTTCGCATTTTTGACCCAAAAAACATAAAATTTAGCAATTTCTTTCCAAACCATTTTGTAGAGCTTAAAAAAACCAATAATTTAGTACATTGAAGCGTTATTATGCGCCTAATGGTTACGGAGAAAATTCCAAAAAATTGTAAATTTAAAATTCCCATGTTATTCTTATGGAGAATAAGTAAACTGTTGTAGTTTGATTGTTATGAACATATTTTGATCAAATTTGGAAAATGTTTTTATTTCTTACTAACTATTAACATAAAAAAAACAGTTTTACCTCCCTGATGCAGCAAACCTAAGTACTTGTTAAACTAATTCTATTTAAATCGGGAATAAATGTTATATTTTTAAGTAGACATTTCAGTGTAAATCAAATCAGTCAAATGGAAATTCGCTTAGTCTGCAGGTTTGCTGCGGCGGGGGTATTTTAAATTTACGGTATACTAGTATATTATACATCTACCATAGCCATTATTTTCTACCACTTCACCTAAACAATAGAAAAACTAATTTTTAAAAATTTGTGAAAAATCACAAATTATTCATGAAATTGTTTTTAATTTTGTTTTTAATAAACATAACTGTAAACTATCCTACTTTGACAATTTTCATTGTGTATCACAGTTTTTTGTAGCTGCTTATAGTTCAAATAAGCTGTTATCATCAATGCAATAAAAATAATTAGTACTGCACTCCGTTGGTAAATCTTATAACTTTTTAATGCTTTTGCATATCATAGAACCAACTTTTTTTGTTGAAACAGCAGCTGACTAAATTCATTAATTCCCTTAAAATATGAATACTTATAAGGTTAACACGGGGAATGAAATGTTAACACGAAATGAAAAAGTACATCGGTACCAGGCCTAGGTCTTACCATGAGACCTACGGTAATAGCTACTTCCCTATAGGGAAAAACCTACCTATAGATAGGGAAATTCGCTAAAATAAAAAACATCAAATGGGTCACAGTGACCTATGTGTGACTGAGTCATCAATCAACAGTCCCACAAAGAATGACATTTTTAAGATCCATCCAAACATCTAGTTCTATTTTTTTGATAATATAATGAAATCACACTTGACCTTGAGAAGATGAGTAAGGAGAACAGCACACGCACGTCTGCTGCGCAAGATGAACTTATCAAGAGGGGGTTGACTATCAACACCAGCTTTGCGGAACCAGACAAACTCAAATGGAACTTCTTCTTTACTTCGAGATTCCACCAAATCTGTAAGATAGAAGTGATGAAGAGTTAAAAGTAGGCTATCAAACCGGAACCAATAAATTTTAAAAATAGGTCTGCAACTTTAGAGTTTATATTATTATTACTGTAGAGCCACGGTTATCTGAGCTCTCGCTAACCAAGTTATGGTTTAACTCTCTGTTACGAGTCACAACAAAGGTTTTGTTGTCTGAGGTACGAAACTTAACTGCTTGTCATCTAACAACTAACACAGCCATATGACTATTTAGTGTCTATTTATGCCATCAGCTTTTTTTAAGTTTTGAAAGGGAGAGGCCCAAACCCGAGTATTGTTACAATCTAACATCAACCTTTTGTTAACCTTTGGGTGACTAACCTTTGATTGCTACCAAATATTCCGATAGTATGATGGAAAACATGTGTTGGTTCCTGTAAGCCAACGACTCTATGATCAAGATCTGCCAGTCTACCAGCTGAGTTTGTTGAGATTCCAATGACTCTAAGGTGGTGGCTCGGGCAATCTGGGCCAGAAGCCATGTTGTAAATCCTGCAAACGACATGAATTGAATAAGCACTACATATAACAATAACCTAAAAAACTTATGTATAGTAATTGTTAACAAAAGTACCGGTATAGTAAACATTCGTTAATTTAGGTTCAGTGTTCTCCATTTAAGTGAAAATCTAGATTAAATACTTGTGTAACATTTATGTAAAGAATCTGTGTGACTGGCTGATACTAATTGAATTGGTTCAGCATGTCTGAGGAATAAGTTAATGGAAGAGAGGTAAGGATGCGGAGGATTGGGACATGGAAATAGATATTAATAATAACTATGAGGTTGAGAAAATTAGGAAGGACTGTTAACAGTGTTAACTGTCTATTTTAAAAGAAAGGTGTTACCCTGAGGTTGATCTTGCCCATTGCCGTTAACACCTTAAGCCAGCTTTTGATGAGCTGTGATTTTAGTAATTTATAACAAGTAAATCTTATAACTAACCCACTACAGTACCTGAATATGTAAGAATTGCATTTACAAGATTAGCCTACTAATTAATGAAATAACAGTGTAAAATGGAAACTGATAGAAGAAAGGTAATTTAGCAATGAATTAATCAAATTGACAGCACATAATCATTGAACAACTTAGAACCATGTGAATTTAGACTTTGCTTCGACAAGCTGATGTCAGCTTCTCTTAAGGAGAAGACCCACATTTTAAATTGGAAAACCTACATCCTAATGCCTCCTAATTTCTCCCCGGCAACCCCTAACTGAACTTACTATTTTATGATTTGAATTTGGATTCCCTGATAATTAATGCAATTACTTCTTATGTTTACTTTGGAGCTGTCAGCAAGGTTTTCAGGTCGGTGATATCCAGTCCTAGCAAAGGCAAACAAGAGAGATTTCTCGTATGCTCGTCGTTCTTACCTCTATTGCCGTTGGCAGCTGATATGCTTTGGCCAGTAAGTAAGTTATTGCTCGCGCGCTGAGTATATAAAAGTATATAAGAGTATATAAAAGTGACGTGCAAGGCACACTTTTAATACAAAGAAACACAGTGGTAGGTACTTCAGGACTGTTCAGTAACTTAAAATCCATTGGTGGTTTTGAACTTGAGACTTCCGGAACTGGAATATTAGTGGGATCTGGATTCAGTAGGGTTTACTGTTATTTCTTCAAAATGAACAACCGTGCAGATATATTTAAGTTAGCATGTTAAAATTATACTCTTGGATGGAATTGACATTTAACTGATTGTTTGCTTAAAATGAGAGGGACATTATAAAACTCTTTTGTCTTGTGACAGTATTTCAGCATCACCATTCACCACTATAATCTTAAAAATGTTGCTTCAATAAAACAAATAATGTCACCATCCATAACCTCCAAGTTTGGTACCTAGTGGATATGTGGATATGTTTATCAAACAGATCAAAATGGTTGAAAGAATAAACAAAACAAAGAGATCAGTGAGCAAGTGATGTGATATTAAACGATTGTGAATATGAACCTAATCTAATCCATCCTGATCTAATGCACAATTGTAATTACCCTTTAACATTTTTATTTCAAAACATTTTACAGTCTATAATTGCAAAAAACAAAGACAATTACCAATGTAGTGAGGTAGTTTTGCTTCATACTCCGCCGGAGGGCCGAGTTTAGGAGGCACATAATACTCGTGATGGTTTTTACAAGGCTGAATTATTTGATCCAGTTGTGGCACAATCTTTGTACCATTATTTAAAAGTGCACTTATGGAGTTGTGAAGGATGTTCCAGAATTCCACAGGTAGTGGAGGATTTGGATCTTGTGTCAACATTCTGAAATAAAATAGTTTGATTAAAAAATATAAGTTTTACCTTTTCCAACAGCGTTTTAATTTAAGGTTAAGACCTTTAAGCATTACAATGCCGTCATCGGACAAGCAAAAGATTCAGCTGAAGCAGCAACGTCACGATCAAAACATATAATTTCTGTTGTTTTTTGCCTCCTGATCACAAATTTAAATTAATCTAGAGGTTAAAATACCTTTCATCCGTCAATGTGATCAAATGTCACCGATGAGCGGCGACCGGTTTCAGCCCAGCTGTGGGGCCATCATCAGGCGATGAAGGAACATAAATATCACTCCGAAGAGGTCGTCATAAAGTCTATAAATACGTCACGAGAAACAAAAACACATAGATACATTATTTACAAACACACGTGTGGCCACAAATTAACTGCGCGGCGGACGGTACGCGTAGGCTACATTAAGTTGCTAGTCCAGTCTTCAGTTTTCATAATGACTACTTAGTAGTCGAAACTAGTCAACGGAAGTTCAACTGAGGAATTGTGGACATCAAGGTAGCCCTGTTACCTGATTGTGCCTTCGTAACCTGTTATAATTCATTTCCAATTCCGGAAGGCTTCATGAATAAAAGTAAAATGTAAGTCCTAATCAAAACCTGGGTAAGGCTACCCGAAAGATAGTTACTTTAATATTTAGGGCCTAACCAGGGCCGGATTTCCCAATGGGGCCCGGGCTTCCGGGCCTATGGGCGGAAGCTCCAAGAGAGCGCACGGCCGAGGAAAAATATTTTTTTTAATCTGAAAATAAAATAAGTAGCCGTAGCTTAACATATTTTACGAGTTGATAAAAAAACAAAAAAAACTCTTGACAATAAAGCATTAAAATTTTATTTATTTATTTGTTTGTTTACGGTATAACACCATTTTTACAAGGGTTGACAGTACAGGGTTGACATGCTGATACAGATACAATATTGAAAGATTGAGATTAAATGAACGAAAAGTGATTAAAGAGTGAAGGTGAAATATGAAATACAATTGCTTAGCCTAATTAAATTTTCTTCCCTTCTGCCTTTTCTCATGCTTTTTTCATTTTTTTTGTTGTTTTGCATAATTTATTGACAGGCAGATAAGAGACTAACATTACATGCAATAGAAGACTTGGTTGAATAGCAAGCATAACAATAGATGAAATTTGGCAACAATAACAATCTATAATATAGGCTACTACAAGAAAACATGCGACTAGAATAACAAAAAAAAGATAATACATACATACATAAATTAGTACATGCAATAGCAATACATACAATAGCAATTATAATACACCAGCAATAGCAGAAAATGATGACTAGAGAGATATGGTAGGTAACATTAGAAAAAAAGATTAAATATCACACAAGACCTGGTAGTAACTTAATACTGCTTTGCTGCTACCAGGCCTATCTAGTTTTTGCTGATACAATTTTAGGGATTCCGTTCCGGTATTTGATTGTCAGTCCGGCCTCTCCAGCCTTAGTCCGAGCCTCCAGATCCAATTCATTGGAAGAAATAACTGTTAGAAAATGTAACTATTTTTCAATATTGCCCATAAATTCCGTTACAACATTGGTTAAGTTATATTATACGGGAGTAGGCTGTAGGGATGTTGTTGGGAATTTGTTAAGGCTAACCAAGACAATTCTTCAAAAAACTTGCAATGATAAAATTCTGATGAGGAGTGGTGTTCAAGCAATTAACAAAGGCCTTTAAGTTATAGGCATGATATAGGCTAGTTAAAAAAATAAAGATTTGTAGGAAAGAAACTGTGACTGTACTAGGCCTAGGGGGCGAAAAACTATTTGGGCCTAGGGGCGCCAAAATGCTAAATCCGGCCCTGGGCCTACCTAACTTATGACTTGTCATTTGGAAAATTAGAGGAACCATTCACTATGGCATGGGTAGTTGGCAACCACTGTGAATTAATCTTCAAAAAACAATTATTGTCAATTAAGTTTCTTACCTATTTTAATAAGATTTTGAGTTTACAGTTGTTGATTTTAAGATTAGGCCTAAAGTTGTTAACTAACTATAAGGTCTATAGATCTTGGCCTACCTTGTCTAGTCCATAACTTCCTGATAGCAACAATTATGTTGTAATACAACCATAAACATTTAGCATGGAAAATATGAAACAAAGCTAATAAAAACCAATATGAAAGTTATATAATCTTAACAATTTTCCTTTGCTTCCCTTCTTCTCTTGTTTGTGCTAGTGTCTAAGTAATCGTCGTCCGTCAGCTACTTCTACTTCACACACAACCACAACATGACAACAAGCGAACAAGCAACAAGTCACAACTGGTCACTCACAACACAACAACACAACCAAAACCAAACCAGTCCTCCGCCAAAAATTGAAATTTTAAAACAATAACAAAAACAAACAAAGTTACCAGCTGTACTCGACGTTCTGTACCCACAGTCATCTCGGTTGGCGCATGCGCACAAAGTTCTTGGAACATTTACCCAGGTAACTGTTACTTCTGATGAGTATTAGCAAAGATTACATATGCTTAGCATAATGTAATCTTTGGTATTAGCATAGATCAAACATACGTATTAAACAAACAAACATAGGTTTGATCATAGATTAAACATACTCCCTTAGTATGTTTAAGGTTTGATCAAACATAGGTATTAGCTACTCACAGCTTTCAGCTGTAACTGTGTCATTAATTCCTTGAATTATTATGGTTACAGTTAACAGCTGCTGTACCAATTAGAAGTACGTTATATGGGATTTAAATCCTACTAATATTATAAATGAGAAAGTTTGGGTGTATGGATGTATGGATGTATGGATGTATGTTTGTGACAAGTGAACGCGAAAAATACTGTTTGGATTGGGCTGAAATTTAGCATGATGATAGCTCACATTCCCGATTAACATATAGGCATATTCTTATTTCAAAAATCCTTTCGGGCTCCGCCCCAGTGGCTCTGGAGTTTCCCATGTTAACCTTATGAGAAATGGAATTATTGAATCTTAACAGCTGTTTCAACTAAACAAGTTGGTTCTGTTCTATGATGTTCAATAGCATTAAAGTTACAAGGATTACCAACAGGGTGCAGCACTATTATTTCTTTTACATTTATGACAACAGCTAATTTGCAACCAAAAGGTGAGTGAGCGTAGCGAACGAACTTCAACCTGGAGGTGAGTTAGCGTAGCGAACGAGCTAACCTGAAGGCAAGTGAGCGCAGCGAACGAGCTCCAACCTAAAGGTGAGTGAGCGTGGCGTAGCGAACAATCTTCAACCAGGACGTGATTGAGCCATGCGAACGAGATAATCTTGAAAATTAAGAAGTTGAACGGGGCAAAGCCCGCGGGTTACAGCTAGTAATAGAATAAATTCAACTTGGACTCAGACTGGACATTGTAACCTACGAAAACGGAAAAATAAACGGTATCCGCATTCTGACACATATTTTTCCCATTTTCAAGAAAATCCGATTTTCCGTTGTTTTATGAACTAATCTAAGTTAAAAATCAAATTTAAAAAAATGAAAAAACATTCAAAATATTTAAGGGCCATAACATACCAAGTTAAATTAAAACCGGGGTTTTTTTAATCCTATTTTTCGTTATATTATGGAGTTTTTATGGGAAAATAAAATAATTTACAATAACTTTTTAACCGTAATTTTACAATTACATACAATTTCGTTCAGAATTTAAAGGGCCGGAACATACTAAATGTTTATTAAAATCGTTCGGGCCATTTTTGAGAATATCTGATTTTCACGTTATTTTACGGGAATATCGACATTAGAAATTAAAATTTAAAAGATGAAAAACACATCTGGATAATACAGAGTACCATGGGTTGGAACCTACACAGCAAATTTTAACGAAATCCGACCACAGGTGTAGTCTTTAGCTCTGTAGGTACATACACACACACACACACGCAAACACACACACATCACTTCGAAAACCACGTTTTGTGTGCAGGGGGACCCAAAACAGATATATACACTATACAGTATATCCACTCAAAACTCAAACTCAAAAATTTTGACGAAAACAATACTTTCTCAAATTTCTCAATACCTCCTATAAAACCTGAGTAATTTTTGTCCGATTTTGGTGAAATTTGGTTTGAAGGTGTAAGGCGGGGCGGGATAAACTTGTTGGGTTTGTTTGTTTGAGGTTTTTGCCGAAGCAATCTTGACACCTAGAAGCATCGGTCCACCCGAACTTGCATGAGTTCACGAACCAGCATGATCGGACCATGGGAACAGGGTTTTTGGGTTTTATAGGGGGGTTTTATGGAGTAAAAATTGGTTTTTCTAATTTTTGACCCTCTAAACACAAAATTTCCCAATTTCTCTTCAGACCTTTTTAAAGAGCTTAAAAACAAATAATTTAGTATATCAAAGTGTTTTTGTACAATTATTTGTTATGGATAAAGAAAAAAAACTGTAATTTTAAAATTCCCATGTTATTTTTATGGAGAATATTGTAAAATGTTGTAGTTTGCTTGTTTATGGATATATTTTGATCAAATTTATTTATTTTATATACTAAGTAATTAATATTTTACAAAAAAAAACACACTTTTTTACCCTCCATGTAGCAGCAAGCCTAGGTATACAAACACATAAAACCTAATGTTAATACAATTCATTCGACTGAAAATACACTTATACTTATACTTTATACTTATACTTTTCTTTGAAATGGTGACCATACAAAGTAGGTATTTTAAGCCAAGTATGAATGGAGATGAGTGTATGATGAGTGGCGCGATAAATCAATTTAGAAAAATTGGAAATTCGCTTAGTCGGCAGGTTTGCTGTGGCGAGGTATTATTATTTCATTTTCTTGTCTACTAAACTAAAACCCAAAGCCGAATTTCCGAAACCGCGCCATGATAACATGGTGGTGGCGGTGATTGCTGCTGAAGATTGGTGAATCGTGAAACTATTAATCCTTGCCGACAGACCACACACCGCCCACCACCCCCACCACTGCTCGAGCGAACACCTTTACCGCATACAGTAGATAAATTGAACAGCCGTAGGTCTCGGCTCGGTTCGATGATGTAGTGGATAGCGCACCGGGCTGGGCTGACGAATCAGAGGTAGCCGGTTCGTAAACCACCGGAGGCATCAACTTTTTGACTTGAATTTTTTTCATTATCAGCAAGTTTGGTTGGTTTGGTTAAGTTATGATAGTTTAATTTTATAATTAAAAAATTATATAGTTGATTTTGAGACATTTATAATTTTACTTTACGAAAAGAACTATTTTTGTTATTAGTAAACCTTCATTCGAAATTTTCTTAATCAGCAAGTTTGGTTAGGTTATGACAGTTAAATTAATTTAAATTTAACCTACATACGACACGTTTTGACAGCTACAGCTACAGTGATAGAACTAACAATTACCCACGAACAGTTCGGCTATGTATTTTGCGTGCTGTGTTTGCTTGGTTTTTCTTAGGTTAAGTTTTGCATAATGATTGTATATATTGACAATTGTATTTTTTACGATGCCCATTGCATTTTGTACAATGTTTAAAGGAAAAATAAATTTCATTTCATTTATGCACGGATTTATTTCTTTTTGTCTATGGTATGATGCGTTCTGCCACGGCCGCCTATAACTACAGGCCGCGGCCTGGTAGAATTGGCAACATCGCAAGTGGTGTTGTTCAGTGACAGACGTCCCATAAAATAACATGGCAGACAGGTGACATCAGCTCATTAAATTGCACTTAATTGATTTAAATTTATGAACATAAATTTATTAAAATATTGAATATAAAACATACAGAATTGAAAACCGAAACAATATGAATTAAAATCTATATCTGTACATTTTTAAGCGGAGTCAATTTTTTCATAGTCCAGTATCCAATCTTTCGTAAATACACAAATGCCATTAGCTGCTTCCAAACAAAACAGCTGTTACGGTTTAACTACAACACCACTTGCGACGTTGCCATTTCGAAGGCCGCGGCCTGGGGCCCATTTCATAATAAACTACAAGTTGCAACTTGTAACTTGTAATTTCCATTAGATTTGCATTGGGCGATCAGCTGATTTACTAATAATATTAGTTTGTACTTTATTATGAAATGGGCCCCTGGGCCCTGTTTCATAAAGATACTAGTCTAGTAATTACTAGTCTAGTAAATACTAGTCCCGTATTTACCTGTCCTACTAATTTGTGTTTCATAAACGTTTTTATACCGCTAGTAAATACTAGTGTATTTTACTAGTCACGTGACCAAAACTACTAGTCACGTGACCAACTTTACAAGGTAAACTTTCAAAACAAATTGCTAACCTCAATCACGGGTTTTCAAACCCTTTATAAAGGGTTTTAAATTTGTTTTCATTTGATGCAAAAAGTAAATAGTTGTAGAAACGCAGTGTTTTATTTTAATTAATAACTATATAGACACATAAGTAAAACAATCACACATTATTTATCAAACCGCTATTATTTATGTTCATCAATGAGCCTGCCGACGCGCCGGCGCGGCGCGGCGTCGCGTCACTGCAATCAACACGGTGACTGTAGTAGCCGGTTGTAGGCGAAACAATAGGGTGGAAGTTGATCTGTTGCTGCGTTGCTGCCGCATTCGCTGTGATTTGTATAGTTTTTGTTTTATTCTGACATATAAAATTAAGCTTGCTATAAGTAGAGAAAAGAAGGCTCAAATTTTGAATGTAATTAAATCGTCTAAGGACATTTTGTTTATTGGAACGGTTTCAAGTACCCTTACCTATGTTTTCAAATATTCGAATGCATAAGGATATTTGGGTTAAAAAACATTTGGTGATATTCTAATTTTGAGTCTACAAACCATGAATAATAAGCCTAAACGTTTATTGATGCAACGAATAATTGCAACGCCGTTACAAGCAATAGAGAAGTAGGTTTTCAAGTATAGTAAAACATGGCATAGGCGCTATTGCAGGGTGTAGCTCAGAGGTGGAGTTTTCGCTTCTCATGTGGTGGGTCCCTGGGTTCAAATCCGCACCACTCACTATACTTTTTGTTCCATTAATTAAACTTTTACATGTTTTTACATTAAAAAACAGCTCTAATCAACATCTAATTTTTTTATTACTTTGAATAACAAATTCAGAATACCAAAATGGATTAAAAGTGATGTTTTTATGATGAGCAGTTCA